AGCTCTTGTTAACTTGTATCAGTGACAGCAATTTTCATTATTCTGACTTGATAACGGAAGTTTTGAAGTTGCAATTAATTAAAAAAAAAGTAACAAAAAGTAAAATCAGTGTAACTGTTAACTAGGTTTTTACGTCCATGCACTGATATGTATCAGGGTATACCAGATAAATGTTTATGTAACAGTTTACAGTATAATGTTCATAGGTTTGAAATCTGAGAATCATTGTGATCTGGTAGTTTGCTGCTGAGAAATTATTCAGTGTGCACATGTTGCACGTGAAGCTATGCTTTAAGCATTTTTTTGTACATCTGCTGAGTCACACATGTGCAGAAATCTGTATCAGCCATATGAAGAGAAACAATTAATAAGACCAGGCAGAATGCTCACTATGCACTAAAAGTAGGCATCAAAAATATATTTTTAAAGTCACTTGTCCTGCAAGATGAGTAGCTTCTAAATTCAATGATCAGGCAACATTTTTCTACTTGTCCTGCATTGAGTTCTACTCGTAATCATGAGTGGACGAGTGGAATTTTCTATCTATTGAAATGTTAAGTTAACTGAGGTATTTGCGCTGCACAGCTTTAAGCTGCAGTCTCACTTACCCCTGGCAGAGCGCAGGACCACCCTGGTAAGTTACTGAGATAATCCCGGACAATCCGGGATGAAATTATTGTTGGGGTCACACTTACCCCGGCAGCACTACGGTAACTCACAACTTACCACCCAGGATGCACTCCAGACCATCAAGGCAGAGCCCAGGTGAAGCTACGGTTGACGCCGGTGCTTCCCTGGTCGTTTCAGGATGACACCGGCAGAGCCTTGGTTGACACAAACAGAGCCCTGGCAAAGTCCAGGACAATCCCAGCAGAGCTATGGCAAAACCCAGGACAATCCCGGCAGTGCCCTGGAAGAACCCCAGTGGAAAAATGATAATGGTGATTTAATATAATATCTGTTGTTCCAGTAGAGTAATTGAATAATCCTTATGCAAGACTGGACAGAAGGAAAATGGGGAAGGGTTTTAATACAAACAAGTGAAATCATCGCAAATTGTTGTGATTCTTTTGAAATGAACCGGGCTTTGCCGGGGTTCTACCGGGATCAACTATGGCTCCATCATCATCCTCCAGGACTCTGCCAGCATCCTCCTGGGCTCTGCCGGCATTCACCGGGGCTCTGCTGACAGTTGCCGGGGCTCTACCATAGCTCTACGGGCTATTTCATACCCCGGATCTTCCCCAGTTTGTGCTGGCAGAGCAACGGTGATTCCCCGGTGTAACCCTTGTGGTTCCCAGCAGAGCTAAGGATGAAACCATGGTTTGAATCTTGTCAAGGAGTTTATGTACAATGTACTGTCATATAAACAACATTATGCATGCATGGCAACTAAATTACAGGAGTGAAAAATATCTTTCCTTATCTAGAAGAATTGGAAGATCAATTTTTGTTTTGTCATATTTGTAGCAATTAAAGCTTGCCTCATGAAAAAGAATGAAATATTTCAATGGTCCTGTGAAAGGTTAACAGCTTGCTTTACAGTGGATGCAAAACATGCAATAGGTCAGAGTTTAATTTGAGTCATGTTTTTGCACTTCCTACTTTAAATTTCATCATTATAATATGTAACAGCATTGGCTTATCTTCATTTTATATGTTTCTAAGCTTAGTTACTGAATCTTCCAATGTTTTTTTTCCTGAGAGTTATCTTGAATGTAGGATTATATAATTGGTACCAGTGATTCTGTGGTTTCTTATGGTTTCTACTTCTTGTGAAGCTTGTGTTGTGTGTGTTTTTTTGTGTGGTTAGCAATGTAAGTGCAACATTATTCATGATCTTTTATTGGTTATAGCCTGGAACTGACACAAATCTGAAGGACTGTTTCTAGAATCAGATACATCTGAATATCATGTGAAACTATATGATATCATAATTTTTATTTGACATACATATTTTTTTTATTTCTTTGAATTTCCTGTTGATAGTATAGTGAATGTGGTTATGTGATAGTTTAGTTAATCACCACAGGGGCTGCTTTGGTGTTTTGTTTACTTTACCCAGAATAATAAATTTATTAAAAATTTTTTAATTTTTTTTAAGGGAAGGGTTTCCAAATAGGGCCCCAATCCAGTGGGGTAAGTTTGGGGTCAATTTTTTTAACTTTTGACTAGAAAATTTGTTTATAACAAGCTTCAAAAACAGTCATCCCCCTCAATGCCCCCTATATAAAATATAGAGCCAGACCAAAAGGGGAAATCATGCCCCCTCAATCCCACTATATACAATTTAGACCCCAGGCCAGCAAGGGGAAATCATTCCCATAATGCCACTAAAAAAAACCAATATAAAAGCCAGGCCAGCAAGTGCAATTTGTCCATAAATTGCCACTATATAAAAATTTTTAAGAACCGGGCCCCAGAAAGGGTGAATCATGTCCCTTTTAAAATCCCAAACCATTAAATATAGAGCCAGGCCAGCAAGTGCAATCATGTCCCATCAATACCACCATAATACAATATAGAGCCAGGCCAGCAAGTGCAATCATGTCCCATCAATACCACCATATACAATATAGAGCCAGGCCAGCAAGTGCAATCATGTCCCATCAATGCCACTATATACAATATAGAACCAGGCCAGCAAGTGCAATCATGTCCCATCAATACCACCATATACAATATAGAGCCAGGCCAGCAAGTGCAATCATGTCCCATCAATGCCACTATATACAATATAGAGCCAGACCAGCAAGGGCAATCATGTCCCATCAATGCCACTATATACAATATAGAGCCAGGCCAGCAAGGGCAATCATGTCCCATCTATACCACCATATACAATATAGAGCCAGGCCAGCAAGGGCAATCATGTCCCATCAATGCCACTATATACAATATAGAGCCAGGCCAGCAAGGGCAATCATGTCCCATCAATGCCACTATATACAATATAGAGCCAGGCCAGCAAGTGCAATCATGTCCCATCAATGCCACTATATACAATATAGAGCCAGGCCAGCAAGTGCAATCATGTCCCATCAATACCACCATATACAATATAGAGCCAGGCCAGCAAGTGCAATCATGTCCCATCAATGCCACTATATACATATAGAACCAGGCCAGCAAGGGCAATCATGTCCCATCTATACCACCATATACAATATAGAGCCAGACCAGCAAGGGCAATCATGTCCCATCTATACCACCATATACAATATAGAGCCAGGCCAGCAAGGGCAATCATGTCCCATCTATACCACCATATACAATATAGAGCCAGGCCAGCAAGGGCAATCATGTCCCATCAATGCCACTATATACAATATAGAGCCAGGCCAGCAAGGGCAATCATGTCCCATCTATACCACCATATACAATATAAGAGCCAGGCCAGCAAGGGCAATCATGTCCCATCAATGCCTCTATATACAATATAGAGCCAGGCCAGCAAGTGCAATCATGTCCCATCTATACCACCATATACAATATAGAACCAGGCCAGCAAGGGCATTCATGCCTCATAAATGGACATTGTGCAGCATTATTTATACCATTTTAATATCAAAATTTCTCATATTAATAACAGGTAGTTCATACAAAAATAACAGGGAGTTCCAAATTCAGAGCAGGACAAGTCCATTATAATCATTAACCTGTTGGTAGTTACAGATACTACCCCATGTTACCAGTGCAGACCATGATCAGCTGTGTTGGGTCTGCATTCAGGCAACCTATTCAGTCAGTACATTATAATATGTACTGGTAACTTCGAAATATTCCACTAAAAAGATGAATTATAAAATTGGAGAAGTCCATTTAAGATATTTTAAACTTGGTAAGAGTTGAAAAACCTGGATAATGATTAAAAATAACCCCTTTATATTTGTTAGAAAATTTCTTTTAAGGCTTTTGAAATATATGCTAAATTTCAAACAATAATATACAAATTTTCCTCATTTCTTAATGACTTACATAGCATTTATACAGATTTTGCCAATTAACATTTTGTATGGCACAATTGCACAGTGATTGACATTTCCGGTATTATTTTAAGTAAACACATTTAAAATGTGTGTTTAATAGTATAAAAAAAATGTGGAAAAAGTGGAAAAGATACTATTTTCTCATTTTATTGTAAAACACCCCAGTGTGTTAATTATGCTATAATTCTTGTTAAGACTATTGTATACATTTTTACCAGATTGTTTCACAGAGCAGTTGTTACAAACAATAAATCTAAGGAAGTGGGTTTTTATATTTATGAGGTGATTATTAGGTTTAAACAATTAAGTTCATGTGCTGAGAGATATATTGGTTAACAGTAGGAACAGATTGGAGCATCACGGTTCTATTATGGAGAAAATTGGTTATTTGTGAACAGAGATTAATGTATTTTATTTGCTAAGAAGTTTATCCTATATTCTGTAAAACCAAATGCTTAAATTCTACAATCATTGGCATGTACAACTTAGTCAAATAGTAAATGTTTCTGAAACTGTTGTATGAAAGTCCATAGCTGTTGAACATTTTATTTGCTTTTTTTTTACTACATTTACCCTTAATACATTTAAATATCTTAAATGGACTTGTCCATTTTTCGATCATGAAAAAACTATTAATCATTTTGAGGGAATTGCTCAAAATAAAGTCTGATTGAATTATAGGGAACAGTTAAGACCATAAACTGACAGTGCAATTAAGTGCCAATTGATCTTGGTCTGCACTGGTTGCATGAGCAGAATCTTTTGACACCAGCAGGTTTAATAAGGTTAAATAAGGTTTAATTCTTTAAAAAAGTTAACAAAGTTTTAAGATACAATTTACCTCTGTAACTTTTAAAGTCAGGATGCTCAAAACATTCTTGAAGACATGAAATCGTTTCATATATTTTGTTACTCTGGAGCGGCAACTAATGCAGAAACTATAATAAAAGTTAATAGGATAAACATATCTCCTAACCTAATGGTTATAAAAATTTTGTTTTATTATTTCAGGAAATTGGGAACGTAGGGATGAAGCAGCAGAAGATTTTTTCCAACGGGTAAATTATTATTATCATTATCTTCTTATAGTTTTAATAGAAAGTTTATTATTTCATCATAAAAAAAGCTCATGGAACCTTTGCTGAAGTTTGCTTGGAATAAATGTAGTAAATGCAAAACTGAAATGAAAATCTTTTATTTCTTTTCATAATGATGTAACATTAATCACAAATTAAATCAAAAGTACTAAAAACAAGCAAAATTGTGTATATATCAGGAAGCTTAATGAAAATAAACGTAATATAATCTTCGATATTGATTTTCATGAACAGTAACAGTTACTGTTTGACTGAGCCATTACTAAGCCTTTGAGGGTAGCGACCATAAACCTATGCTGCAAATATAGAATCAGCTCGGTCAACTTATCTATCAGTCTTACAAGATGCTTTATTGATGGTTGTTATACGTTTAAACATAATATTATGTAGACTAAAATCTTTAAACTGATCAGCATCAAACTTTTCCAAATTGTAAGCAGGGCAAATCATTTAACCCTGCTGAAGCCAAAAGTGATTAGCCTTTGCGACAAGTATATAAGCTAAAACCAGGCCAGCCTGAACATCATCTGAAATGTAGTATGACAAGTCTAGGCTCTAATTTGTTAGTACCTAAACCTTTGTAATCTTTAAATTGAAACCACTTGTTCTTTGAGTTTGAAAAGACAGTTCCAAATGTAAAGTATAGGGTATCCATTACAAGCAGGGTTAAAGTTTACTAAGTGTATAAAACAAGCATTGTATCTGATGCTTAAAATAATATTTTATAAGTAAGTAATCAAATCTGCTTTGATTTCATTTCCATTAACATTTTCAGATAATTCATATCTCCCTTTGATGTTTTGCTGCAATATGAATCATTATAACAAATATGAAGTAAGAAAAAGTTACCTATAACTGATATATTTCGTGCAATTACACTTTCACACTACAAAGTGGTTTATTAAATAATTGGCAGCCATCATATTTTTTCATCTTTTAAATTTGTCTGCCAGGCTGTTGTAATGAAGGTGGATGTATTTTACAATTGTTTTGGTGCCTGTAAAAGTAATTACCAACTGTTGTTTAGTTGTTTGTAATAGATGAAATTTCTGCCAATCCTCTCTGCCAGTCAGCTGTGAGCATTAAAAGTACACAGGTATAAAAGAAACAAAATGTACAATGAAAAGTGAAATCTACTTAATATATATTAATAACAACAAATGTTATTTAAAGGAGATCACAGAAATCTTGGTATAAATCATGCAATGAAATTGTGTGACTCAGCTTATTGCAAAGTTTAATTAGTGAAATGGCCCCTTGTCATTAGGGCAACACCATATAACCACATGATTGATTTGGGACAATTGTTAGTAGGGCAACACCATATAACCACATGATTAATTTGGGCCAATTGTCATTAGGGCAACACCATATAACCACATGATTGATTTGGGCCAATTGTCATTAGGGCAACACCATATAACCACATGATTGATTTGGGCCAATTGTCAGTAGGGCAACACCATATAACCACATGATTGATTTGGGCCCATGCATTGTCAGTAGGGCAACACCTTATATCCACATCATTGATTTTGGCCCATTGTTATAAGTGCAACACCTTATAACAACATGATAGATTTGGGCCCATTGTCAGTAGGGCAACACATTATAACCACATGATTTATTTGGGCCCATTGTCATTAGGGCAACACCTTATATCCACATGATTGATTTGGGTTCATTGTCATTAGGGCAACACATTTATAACCACATGATTGATTTGGGCCCATTGTCAGTAGGGCAACACATTATAACCACATGATAGATTTGGGCCCATTGTCATTAGGGCAACACATTATAACCACATGATAGATTTGGGCCCATTGTCAGTATGGCAACACATTATAACCACATGATAGATTTGGGCCCATTGTCAGTAGGGCAACACATTATAACCACATGATTTATTTGAGCCAATTGTCATTAGGGCAACACATTATAACCACATGATAGATTTTGGGCCCATTGTCAGTAGGGCAACACATTATAACCACATGATTGATTTGGGCCCATTGTCAGTAGGGCAACACATTATAACCACATGATAGATTTGGGCCCATTGTCAGTAGGGCAACACATTATAACCACATGATAGATTTGGGCCCATTGTCAGTAGGGCAACACATTATAACCACATGATTGATTTGGGCCCATTGTCATAAGCACAACACCTTATAACCACACGATTCAATTGGATAGAAATACATTGACCATTGACATTATGGCAACATGATATATAACCAAGTATCCATTTGGAATTATAACTATTATATTAACTAATTGGATAGAATGCACAAATGGATACTTGGTTATGTATTATGTTGCCATAATGTCAATGGTAGCCTAAAAATGTACCATTTCAGAAGAATAAACAAAAATACAACATAAACAGAACCCCTTTAGCATTTAAATGTTCAAACTTTAACAACATACAATGAGAAGATTAAGAATAGAATGAAGACTTGTTTTAAAATAAGTGAAAGTATAAGATTTAATGTCTGATAATTTAAATGGCTTAAAATACATCAATTGTAGTATTGTACCTTTTCAAACATCAACATAAAAACACTGTAAAGCTTCTCTGTTCTTTTCTCCTCAAGAACAATTTTATGCATGTTCCATGCAGTGCTGTTTTTATGCTTTTGCTGGTTTTTGCAGCTTATGAATTATAGAGATGCAGTTCCTTGTTATCTTGAAGGGCTTTCTTTGTCGTTGAAATAAGTGATAAATAGCATGAACATTTGATGATAGGAAAGAACAGGTCTTGCACTTTATTCCCTCTGCAAACAAGTATAAGGGGCTTTAGCAGAAACAGTTGTTGAGATATTAGAGTATAATGTATGAAATTTAAAATACCTGTCAAATAAAGAATTACCATTTGTTTACTTGCTTAGTTTCATAGCATAGGTTAGACCAAACTTCCGTATCCATTTTGTGCATTCTCACTATTGACTTCAAACCACTTGCGCCTCACCACTGTGGGTTCGAATCCTGACAGGGACTTTGGATTATTTCATGTGAGGAAGCTATCTAGCTAGCTTACGGAACGTCCGTGGTTTTACTCAGGTGCCCGTTGTTGTGTGAAATAATGCATGAAAGGGCACCCGAGGTCTTCCTCCACCAGTAAAGCTGGAACCTCGCCATATGACCTATAATATGTTGTTGTGACGTTAAATCCAATTAAACAAACAAACAAACAATTCCCACTATTGTATTTGAAGTCTTTATCAGAAGTTTGGCCTTAAAGAGCTGAGAAGATGTGATTGCCATTAAAGAAATGTGATTGCCATTTAAGAAATTTAGGGGGTTAAAAGGTTTGTTTTTACTGCAACTTATGTGCTAAAATGGTTAGTATTTGGTATACATGTAATTTAGAAATCTTTAAGACTTAAATTTTTAGCTACCAATTTGCATATATTTAATCCAGAACAGCACCTCCTGTTTTATAAAACCTACTGCTGTGGCATGACAGTTATTGTAATTAACTGTGACAGACATTTTCTGTATCTCTGAGAAATAAACAAACTTAAATAACATTCCATAGCATTAATTTTTGTTATAAATGTTTCTGATTTTTTTTATAAAGAATGCATAATTTTCTTATGTATGTAGAAGAAAAGTAGCAGTTGTGTACAAATTTATGTCAATGTTAAGCTGTTTATACTATATTGTGTTCCTTTTAAATTAGTATAGTTTTGTGCTGAGCATTAAATGTTTTTGTGTTTAATTGTATTAAGAAAAAAAGATGAGGGTTCAGAAATTTTACATGTTACCTGTTTTAAATCTCAGGGATAGTTATTTGGGACAGTTTTTTGATCCAGGGAACCTGAGCATAAAATGCTTAAAGAGGTTTTTGGGCCAGACTTACAATGCCCGGTTGTGAAAAGTTTTAGCATAAAAATTTGGGAGGGAATTTTGACTATTAAAGTTCCCTAAATAAAACATTTATGAAGAAGGGTTTAAGATGTAAAAAAAAAGTACATCCTACAAAACAACATCCTTTTTTAAAGGGCCCCCAAAGGAAAAAATTTTGGGTAAAACCAAAAAAGTACCCCCTGTAAATAAAAAACTAAAAATTTCTTTCTTGTAACTTACTACAATGTAATTGATCCTGGTGTTTGGCAGGGTTTGCTCTTCCCTCCTCTTGTAATACCTAATCAGGCATCTAAACCAGGTCACAAATCAAGAGAAAGGTAGCTGAGGGTCTTTAAACTGCAAGTGCAGATTTCGAGAAAATAAAAACCTGCAATTCAGATATTTTGAGAAATCAATCACAGTTTATGATACAGATCAACTGATTTTTTTTACCTTTTACTGAGTTTGTTATTGTAGCATCTGATAGCATTTATTACATTGCTGAAAAGTCAGCAGATTTCATCTCACTTACATTGCAGATAGTTTTTGATGTGCAGCCCTTGAACCTTGCTGGTTCAACAAGTAATTGCACTAGATTTTGGACACATTTTTTTTATGTGATGGGGGTTTTGATATACAGTTTATATGCTTTACTGTAAAATATCTGGGATATCTTGATGATAAGAAATCTTTATGTTAGAAAATTTAATAGAATTTGAGAAAATAAAAGAAGATTCACTTACATGAAGAAATTAGATCATATTTATATTGTAGTTCATATTTCTGAAAGTGTTTCTCTTTTATCATGCAGCTTATACAATGTATTTGATTATAAAAAGTTTTTAAATGGGTTACTTTTGTTATCTCCTTAAAATTAGTACTTGTGTTGCAGGATGTGTGTTTGATCCTCTGAAAATTTCTACAATCTGAAGTTTACCTGTATTTAATAGGCTTAATTATTCAGGATTTTCATTATTAACCGATTTGCGATCCAAACCATCGGTTAAATTGCTGTTAAAAGTGGTTGTATTTTCAGCCTCTATATTAAAATATCACCCTTGACGCTTGGCAAAATTGGTTGTTTTCTTTGGAGCATCTTTTGCCAAAGATAGAAATGAAAACGCTGTTATTATTCAAGAAGGTCTGAAGTATATTCAACAGCCTGAAATAATTGATCATTTGCTAAATTTCCTGCTTTGAATTTGAAACTGCCTATTGTCGATATAAGGGATTTAATATCAAAACCCCAAAATCCAAATGCCATTTGATTATAAAACAATAGCAAAGACAGTCACCAAAGGCAGTTGTGTAAACATTTGAAAAGTACACATGTAAATTGATTTGATGTGAAACACAATTGCAATAATGCAACTTATATGGAAATAAGAATAGAGAACAAATTTCTTTTAATTGAAATAGATAGCCTAATATCACTCTCAGGATAGCCTAATATCACTCTCAGTTTCTATTAAAAACAATTTTTGAAGTTTAACTACAAAGATCTAACAAATGATAGTATTTTCAGTTAAGTTGAAAAGAATTCTATGGTGTATTCTTTGTTATATGTATAAAACTGACTGGTACAAGTTTTGGTTTGATGACCTTCATAGACTGGTTTATAGGAAAACAATAGCCCGGGGAATGATGATTTTTTTTGTATTTAAATTTTTAATTTTTTTTTTAAATTTCTTTTTTCTAAGGTGACTAACAAATAAATTTTCGGGGTCCAAAACTAAAAATAAGGTTAAATCAAAAAATTACATAACCCCTTGTAATGATTTGGGGAATTGTTTTGTTTTTTAAATAATTCCCCTTAATTCCAATATTACTGTCAATTCTAAATAAGTTTTATTATCTGAATTTTGGAAGGTTAATAATTAAACCCCATTATCCCCCTTGGAACTTAATTTTTCAACTGGTGTTTAAAGTCTATTCTTCATATAGGAAATAAACCCAAAGTAAAGAAATTGAAAAAAATTGTTCTAAGCTGGAAATTCACTTTATTTGGTTATGAAAAGTTATTTAAATATGTTTTTTTGAAATATATTTTCATTTCAAGTTTTTCAAATTCACTTTGAATACAAGATTGTATAAATTAAAAGAATTTTTGAAGGAATGAGCCCACATGTTTGCGAATACTATCAAATCTTTCCAAATCTATAGTGTCATCTGTTTTATTTATATTCCAGAATTAACAATATAAGGCCCTGTTTTCCAGTATTAACTGTATACCTACTATGATTTATAATGACATTGTCCTTTGGGAATTTTGAAAAAAAGAACTGAGGAAAAAAGTCTTGGCAAGGAATATATTCCGATACCTCAGCTTGGCATGTTAACTTATTCCAAAGTTTTGATTATTCAGGTTCTCTGTGATTTTTAGACAAAAAGAGAGGAGTCTTATTTTATTCGGCAATTGTATAAGATTATAAAATCTGTGATTAAATCTGTATTCACAGGATAAAGCTTTCTTTTAACTCACTATAAAATATTTCCAAATTGACAATATACAAAAAGATGAAAGAATCATGATAATGCAATAACTCCTGAATTTCTTCTTATCACAATGAAAATGCAAGTTGTTGAGTTATGCACAACTAATATTTTTATACCAGCTTGGCCATTTCATTGCTTTTACTCTCTGGGGGTTGCAGTATTTTATGCATTTATTATTTGTAAATGAGCTAATTTGAGGAGGTAATATTTACCCTTACAGGGTCATTAAAAGGTTTATTTAACCTATGGTTTGTTTACTTTCTTTTGTATTTGATCTTTGATTACATTACATTCCTAGCTATATTATTTGTTGTCTAAATAAAAATCGCTGATTTATCAGTTGTCTTCAATTCATTACTGTATCACTTATAGACATACTTTAGAACTTTAATGATATACCTGGGGGTTATTTAATGACTTCGAGGCAACTTTTAATCTACGAAATTAAATCCTGAGGATCAAATATATAAAAATCTTTCTTTTTTTTTATCAATGAATTTTTATTTAATTTGTTTTTTTCGTTACAAAGTTTCAAAAATAGCCAAATATTTGTGGCTGATATTTTAGTTTATATTGCTGGTTAAAACAATATGAATACATGGATCTGAATACATTTACATACTATAGATTGTTTTAAGGTCTGTGAGATTAATAAACCTCAGTATTAATTCATATTCATTTTTGAATAAAACAGTATCATTACAATTTAATGATGCTGATCCATCAACAAGAATTTTAATAAATTACTTGAAGATAATAATATATAACAAAATATATTCTACTCCTTATTGATATATAATTATGTGGAATATTTGAAAGAAGTGGAGACTAGACCCATCTGATACAGGTAAATGAGTTCTGTATTCATTTTACAGTAAGCTGGCATTGCTACAGTGTCTGTATATAAATTATGTATTTTTGTGGGTTTTTGTTTAGCACTAGTGGAAGCTTTGGTATCACTGTAAACCATGTGGAGAGATAAACTGATAAGCCCTGCCTTCATGTCTGAAACATTCTCTATTACATTTCTCACTGACTTGCTACCGTTTCTTTTCAATTTTTTTTTTTCATCTGTGGAATTCTAATAAAGTCAGGGTAGTCTAACCCTTTCATGGAGACCTGATAATTGGCCATCTTTTAATTGCCTTTTTTATTGCCTTTAAGTTGATTTATTGCACTGATGATGGTTTTAACTTGATTGCATTTATCAGCTTCTGTGGAACAAATTGCTGTCTTTCTCATTGAAATATTTTATTTCTATACCAAATTGAAATGTTGATATTCTTTATTGATGTACATATTTTATTTGTGTTTTGTAAAAAAAATAATCATGGAGCTAGTGTTATTTTATGATATTGTAAAATGTTTTGTTTTTTTGCAGATCCACATATCAAAGTAATAGGTCTTCCAGAGGACGTCAGAGTGGCAAAAGATTTAATAATGGCTGTGCTGGACACAAAAGTAAGTTGAAATACATCAATTGGTGAAGAAAATACAGGTTTGTAACAATGGGATGGAAAACTAGACTTACATGTTTTAATCCTTACCCATCTGGAACCAAAAGTAATAAGCCCATGTCAACAGTATATAGAAACAGACCAGTCTGCACATCAGTACAATCTGATCAGGCTCTTTCCTGATAGCACCTCATGTTTCCCACATTAATATTGACAATTGGAGTGGACTAATGCCAAATTCAGTGTCATGCCATTCCATTACAGTATACATATTTAGTAAGTTGAAGGGTTATGCAATAAGGCATTGCTGATAGTTAAATGCTCAATTTTCAGTATTTGATATTTAATTTTTACTATATTAACAACTTCCACACTTATGATGGAGCAAGTACATTGCAAAAGCCATCTGCAATGGATGAATGATGATATAGATTTACAAGTTTTGTACTGTACGTGTCATCCTGTTCTTTCCACAGTCTTGTTCACATGGTTTGTTATAGCTTAAGTTAAGGACCTCCATATCTTTACGAGATTTTTTATCATGCCACATTGTAAATTCCGAAAAACACACTGCCAGCATTTATCATTTTGGCTGAGTAGCATTTGTTTAAGTTTTACTTGATTTAGTAAATATTTGTTTTGTATGGGATAAATTTCATTAGCAATTTACAAGACAATTTAAAGCTTTGTTTTGACATAGACACTTATCTCAATAGTTTGTTTGTGAATAACTTACAAGTGTTTTGCCATTTTTAGTATTATCTGTACGATTTCTGCTGATATATTGTGAGATATGTTTTGCAATATTTGTTACTAGTTTATATGGAAGAATCTACAATGGATTAGTGTTTAAGATGTTTGTATGGTATACCAAGAGAGTGGGTATACTCCTATATAAGTGATTTATGTATAAGCACCTTATCATAAGACTGTAAATTTTGAAAATATTGAAGGTAATTCTTCAAGCTTGTCACAACATTTGCTTTCATGGTTGTGTAACAAAGGGTTTTCATCTTTATTCTGGGAGACATGAAACTTCACCTGGTGTGTGTGTGTCTTCATGGTTACCATTTACCACATGATGCAGATGCTTTGACCTGCATAACATGATTTCCTTAACTGAGGAAAGGAAAGCTGTTATTTCAAAGGTGAATGGGTCAAAGGTCAAGGTCACAGTGAAATTGAGTGCAGTGTATGATTTATAGCCTTCCAGGTCCTATAGTTCTGTTCTCATTTGGCTAAAGGTGAAGGTCACAATACCCCAAACATTGAATATCCGTTTCTGCTTAAAAAAACATGAGTGCCACTGATAAAATTTAATAGCCTTTGAACTTTATTTGGTGTAGATGGGTAATAATACATTTAAGTTATGTAAAAACTGTTCAAATTTTTGTATTTGACAAAATATCAAAGTGATCTATTTTAAATGACCATTGTTGATTATCTAAGTACTATAATCATCAGCAGCTTGTGGTTGGAACAAGAATCTGTTTCCAATGGAAAGGAGAAATATCTACATGCTTAATATAAACTGTTCAAAATGATAAACTCCTGGTATGGAAATTGAAAACACAGATTAGAAATAGGTTAAAGGTCCAATCAAAGTTATTGATCATTATTTTCACACTATATTTTCCAACCACTTGAGATTTATAATCATTTGAAGAGGTATTGTCATTAAATGAACACCTCTTTTTGTACTTAATCTTCTTTTTGTATACAGTTTGATGTGGTTCTCCCAGTAAGGCAGCTGTTGAAAGGTCTCAATTTAATAATGTTTGTGAACACATCAAACATAAATGATAATACACACTGTAATAAATTTGAATTTACTGTTTAAACAGTAGCAGGAAACTGTCAAAAATTCTTTCCCTCTTGTGGGGTCTTGTCAATTGCATAAACAGTCAATCTGAAATATTTTTTGCATAGATTCTTAATAGGTCCTGAAAAAACTCTGGAGAAATAATCCTTATATTTGTCTCTTATCACATAAACACAATTATTGTGTTTTTATAAAGCAAATTAACATTTTTAAGCCAACATGGGATACCATGAATAAATCTCACAGGCTCCATGATTAAATTAACCTGCTGAATTTCTTAAAGGGACTCCACTGAGGTTTTTTGACATGACAGGACTGAAAATATATTTTCCAGGTAAATGTACAATTTGATGTAGGTTTATGCCACTAACCTTTGTGCAAAATTTCAGATCATTTGCGCACTTAGTTTTTCCAGAATAATTATTCAAATTGTAAATACATGACCCAAAATGAAAAGCGTTTAAACGCTTTCCTCTCAAATCGGGCTAAGAAAAGCATAAAAATACAATTTTCAATTTATTTCAAAGTATATGTTTTAACTATCTTTTAAAAGTGCCCAGGCTCATTTATGTAAGAAATTCAAATGTTATGTTTTTAGGCTATTGAACCTCAGTGGAGTCCCTTTTAATATTCTTGACCAACTTCCATTTTTGAAAGTGCCCATTATGAATAAGAAGGATATTTAAACAAAGACTGAAATTAAATAGCCAACAGGAGAGTGCAGGTATATGCAGATTGGCCTGGTCCTATCTATGCTGCTGGCAAGGTCTAATTATTGTCAGCATACTTCAAAAATTATCCATATACATGTAACAAGTAAGACTAGGTCTTTCTGGCACAATGGTTATGTGGGTGATTAATCATAAAAAAAATTTATATGTAGCTTTCACTAGCATGTTAGATATTTCCTAATCCTTAAATCTGCTCTTTGGAATTTATTCCATAAGCAAAATAAAATTTTTCTGAAGGAAAAAAACTATAAAAAGTAGCAGATGGAAAGTTTATGGTTCTTACCTAGTCTGGTGTTAAAGTACATGTACCTGAGAAAAAAGCAAGGAATCTCTAGTTTAACCAATACCAGCATACTAATAATGTCAATGTCATATGATCTCCTGATGGTGCTGGTATTACTCAAACCATACATAGTTATTTACTTTAAATACATAAATGAGTAGCAGATATGATACATAATATATTTTGTGTAATACCAGTTAATATTTGTACAGATCTACAGTGATAGTTTTCGTTGCTTTATAGTAATATACCTTATTTTATCATCTTTCCAATTTCTAGCACAAAGTGCATTTTGAATTGTTACTTTAGATCAATTTCAAGACTTGTTTCATGATGTTTTGTTATGTTATGTTTTGTCTTGTTCTGTTCTTTCTAGGCTATTAACAATTTTCTTATGGGCTGTTGTTTATCCTGTGGTTTAATTAATTTGACTGGTACCATAATTGTATTTATCTGCTTCAAGCACACACCTCATTATTCCAATCATACCAGTCTAATACCATCATCTGTTATTGACTTGAGACTGTTCAACACTACTTCATTTAAATACATCACTTAACTGTGCTTATAATGTTGAAGAGTGATTGATCAGTAAATATTTGAACATTAATCACTCAATAGCTTTTTAAAATAATCATTTTAGCATGCACAGACTTACAAGATTTATATGGAACAGATGTTTGTGTAAAATATTCTCTAGGATTGCCATTTTCAACTCCTGTTGTTTTAATTTCATATGATTGCATGGGTATGATTGTTGAAAAGTTATTATTTAATAATTGATTACAAATATATAAAACAGCAGAGTTATAACTCTGTTTAATGCTATATGCTGTAGTAATTGGTAATCTAAGGGTACAATTAATCAAGCCTTTAAGCTAACCTGCACATGTGTGCAGTCTTGATCAGATTCTTTACTGCTTGAAGTTACACTTTAACACTTGATTTGCTGGTTAAGCAACTTGAATAGAGTGACCAGGCCAGCCTGCATATCCGTGACCAGGCTCTATACTATTGGTTGACTAACTTCAAATTTTGATCTTTATATCATGGATAGTTCCAAAAAATGGAAGCTTGACAAGTCCTTTTAAGAAATTTTCACCAGGTTAAGTGTTGTCTCCTTGCTTAAAGCAGAAATGTTCCAGTTATATATTTTGTGAAGAAGTTTTTACATGGGAGAAAAACAGGTTATGTTAGTACATATTCCTTTGCCCCATGGCATAATGGCTGACAAATTGCTACAACAGGTGCTAATTATTAATTCCATAAAATAAATCATTACAGTTGTCTCTGACTTGAGTGTTTAAACATATTTACTTGAAATTGTTTTAAGGCACTAATACTTACTATGGTAGTTTATTTTGATGCGAAGTGACATCACAGACTACCTTTACTGGAACCTTTTTAGCCTTACAGTGATACTGACACATAAAATTTAGAAGGGCTTACTCCGTGACTACATTAAGGTGACGATTATTTAGTCAAATTATTAGAATTTATGTGAAAAATTGTAACTATATTGCTATAACATTTAGTTTTATGAGGTAATTCAGTGGAATGAAAGAAAATCATATAAATTATGCTACTTTGTCAGACATTTATTTACAGAAATTGTGTTGAAGATAGACATTTAGTGATATTTGCTTTACTGCAATCATAAGATATTATGATTAAGTTATCACAGTACAACTTGTAATAGTTTGCTAATGATACATAGATATTTTCAACATATTTATTTTAAAGCAAATGGAAGTTTACAGAATGTTGGTGGTTCCACTCTGGTGCCTATTTGTGTTTAAATAATAATGCTTAGAATGGCACCTGAGGTCTTCGTCCATCAGGACAAGCTGTTATTACAGACCTTAACTGTGTTTGTGCCAGGTAAAACCTAACCAAGAACTAGTTCTTAATCTAGTTATACCCCCACCACAAAATGTGGGGGGGTCTATAATGGATTCGCTTTGTCGCGTCGGTGGGTCGGTCGGTCGGTCCGTCCGTCCGTCTCCATTTTCGTGTCCGCTCTATAACTCCTATACCACTTGAAGGATTTTCTTCAAACTTGGCTCAAATGTTCACCTCAGCAAGGGGATGTGCAGAACCCATGTTGCCCATGTGTCAGCTCAAGGTCAAGGTCACAATTGAAGGTCAAATATCAAACACAATCATATATTAGACAATATGTCGTGTCCGCTCTGTAAGTCCTACAATAATTGAAAGATTTTCTTCAAACTTGGTTCAAATGTTCACCTCAACAAGGGGATGTGCAGAACTCATGTTGCCCATGTGTCATCTTAAGGTCAAGGTCACAATTGAAGGTCAAATCAAACAATCAAATATTACACAATATGTCGTGACCGCTCTGTAAGTCCTACACTAATTGAAAGATTTTCTTCAAACTTGGTTCAAATGTTCACTTCATCAAGGGGATGTGCAGAACCCATGTTGCCCATGTGTCATCTTGAGGTCAAGGTCACAATTGAAGGTCAAATATCAAACAATCAAATATTACGCAGTATGTCGTGTCCGCTCTGTAAGTCCTACACTTATTGAGAGATTTTCTTCAAACTTGGCTCAAATGTTCACCTCAACAAGGGGATGTGCAGAACCCATGTCACCCTTTTGCCGGCTTAAGGTCAAGGTCACACTTGAAGGTCAAAATTTGACTTAGAAAATGTTCTTAAATTTTAACATATATCTGAATATTTCTGAATCTAGGAAAGGTATTTGCTTGAAACTTAAAATATATATGAAATGTCACAATTAAGATATGCTGGTCAAGTTTCATAACTCAGTATTGCATTTAAACAAAGTTATGCCCCTTTTTAATCTTCAAATTTACATACAATCACATATTAGACAATATGTCGTGTCCGCTCTATAAATCCTATACTAATGGAAGAATTTTCTTCAAACTTTACTCAAATGTTCACCTAAACAAGGTTATGTGCAGAATCCATGTCACCTTTGTGCAGTCTAAAGGTCAAGGTCAAAAATTGACTTAGAAAATGTTCTTAGATTTTAACATGTTCTTGAATATTTCTGAAACTAGCACAGGTATTTGCTTGAAACTTAAAAGATGTATGAGGTGTTACAATTACGATATGCAGGTCAAGTTTCATAACTCAGTATTGCATTTTGACAAAGTTATGCCCCTTTTTAAGTCTTTAAATTTACATACAATCAATAATAGAATATATGTTGTGTCCGCTCTATAAATTCTATACTAATGGAAGGATTTTCTTCAAACTTTACTCAAATGTACACCCAAATTAGGCGATGTGCAGAACCCATCTTACCCTTGTGCCAGCTGAAGGTCAAGGCCACACTTCAAGGTCAAAAATTGACTTATAAAAAGTTTAGTATATTTGGAAAATGAAAGGTTATTTGTAACTGTTTCGAACATGATTTGATAATAGATATTTATACTATTACCTGTACAATTAGTCTTTTTTTCACCAGAGATAATTTCTTTTTATGTATTTGTGCCACTTAAGTTATTTCCTTAATCACCTTTCCAAGTCGTCTTCTGTCAAGGACATTCAGGTGGGGGTATGAATCGCATTCAGCGATAGTTCTAGTTAACCCTGCTAGATGCACAATTAGTGTATGGTCATCAACAACTCAAGTATTGTCACAGTTAATTAAAGTCTATCACTTAAATTTATACAAATGCATGATTTCACTCCTTACAGTGAGAACACTGCGGACAAAAGTTAATAAAATGTAGTTAATATCTTGCTTATAATGATGTCATTTCATGGCATTGGCTATTTGTTTTGCAACAACCATAACAATATGTCATTTTTTGCTTATAATGATGTCATTTCATGGCATTGGCTATTTGTTTTGCAACAACCATAACAATATGTCATTTTTTGCTTATAATGATGTCATTTTATGGCATTGGCTATTTGTTTTGCAACAACCATAACAATATGTCATTTTTTGCTTATAATGATGTCATTTCATGGCATTGGCTATTTGTTTTGCAACAACCATAACAATATGTCATTTTTTGCTTATAATGATGTCATTTCATGGCATTGGCTATTTGTTTTGCAACAACCATAACAATATGTCATTTTTTGCTTATAATGATGTCATTTTATGGCATTGGCTATTTGTTTTGCAACAACCATAACCATATGTCAGTATCATTTAATCATTAATCAGCACCTCATATTTGTCAGTCATATTCATTTTTGAAAATCAGAAACTTCTTTTAGAGAATCTGGTAGTATAATAAGTTCTTTTTAATATCAATAATATTGCTACATTTGTCCTATTTTCTGCTGATTTGATCATAATTATGTGGATTATTTCTGGATTAAGCATTCTTTTGTGTCTAATTGTTTAAATCTTCCAGACTTCCTTTATAGAGTATCTAGTGCCAATCAAGCCATAAGCTGTTGTACCTGACTAGCACTGGTACTTTGTGATAACATTGATAAGACTTAATTTATTGAAGCTGGTCTTTTTAGAATTTAAAATCAAAGCATACATAACATTTGAACAACTTTTCAAATATTTAGAAAGAAAGATCATGTAGGCTGAAGGTGCTTACATCATGGCATTGATATTTTACATGTGGATGGATAATACTTTCAGATCCAATAAAACAAATGTTCCCTTTTTGGAAGATGGACAATCCCAACATAAATTTTTTTAAAGAAAAATGCTTATGTTTTATGTAAATTCACTTGTAAATGTTACATATTTCAATGTATTTAAATGTGTGTTATAATGAATCACCCTTTCTTGATGTTGACATACTTGTCCTCATTGTAGTGCTTAAGTCCTTGCAAAAGAAAAATTTGGTTTAAAATTCAAGAATTGCAGAAAATTGCCTGTATAGATACCAAAATGCAACAATGCAACAATTAACGCTGGAAGTTAACCCTTACATGCTAAATATCTTAAGTGACATGTTTCTGTCTTTCAATCCAGACAAAACCATTTATCATTTTAAGGGAATATTTTGAAATACCAACAGAATTATAGTGAACAGTACAGATCAAGATCCGAGGGCTCAGTCCTGACAGATCTTGGTCTGCACTGTTTACATGGATATTATAATTCAGTTTCAGCCAATTTAATTTAATCGGAGGTTAATTTTGTTAATGGGAATTAAGTTTTATTTAAGCCAAATGAAATGAAGCATTAGTTTATTTATTAAATTTGTTGTATAAATGATGAATTGTAGAAGAGAATTGATACAAGTCTAAAGAAGTACTTTAATTGGACAGTGTAAAAACCGGTCTGGGCTAATTTAGTTTTGACATTTGGAGATTTAATTAGCTAAAATCGAATTGCCTGCCAGGTTGCCTTGTTTCATTCAAGGTATAATTGACCAATAAAATATTTTGACTGGTTTTGTTGCTGGAATTGTTATTAAATGCCCATGACAAGTCTTGTAAAAGTTGTAAAGATAGGTGCTGGTTAGTATCAGGAACTCATTAGAATTGATTGGCATGATTTTAAATGAATGGAAATAGATGAATGTTCATTTCCTTAAAGTTTGAAAATAGGAAAGATATGGAACCAGCTATAAGAAAAGACAGAATGATGATAAATTTATGGATTGTGAAGTTGATGCATTAAAGATTCAAAAAGGAAATACAGATGCTTTGTACGAGCAATTGTATTAATGAAGAGGGAAACAGATTATATATATAAATATTTGTGAAACAATGATCATATAAGTTATGGAAAATCTTGATCCAGGATTCATATCCCTGTATCCTGTGAATCCAGATTTAAGTTTGATTTAATGAAATGCCTCACTTTAAAAATTGTATGAAATTTCAAGAAGGTTATGCAATAGAAAAGCCTTCAATTACCAAGTGTGCATAAACTCACCCTACTGTTGTCTTTTGTGAAATCACAGAAAGATAACTTAATAATAATTATGCTACTTTATGGTCTTGTTTATTGATGTGACATAGATGTCTCTTACACATAGAAGTAATGCATTTGTTGTTATTTTGTTGTTTTAAACAATCCTAACAAGATCAAATGAAAGGCAAATGTCATGGAACATTGCACACAGTTAGGGTTGAAAACAGGGCATTAGATTTTATTTAAATATTTGCCACATCCTGGATTAGATTTAAGTAGGAAAAGTATCTTCAGTTTGGAATCAAATTGTTTTCAAACTTTCTCTAATCTGCATCAATGACTATCAGTAAAAAAATGGAAATGTGAAGAAAAAAATTGAATGTGTCAGGGATGTGAATGATGAAAAAGTGGGAGATAGCTGTACAAATATATAATTTGTCAGAACCATTTTAACTAGATAGAAACCATTCAGTTAAATTAGCACCTGCTGCTTTCCTCAATAAAACCTGCTTTCTCTCTCTCTGATTTTTCAATACTTATTGTAATTTACAGATGGAACTTTAAATTTGACATTAACAATTTTAAATGATTTATGTACTGGCATAGAAGCCTAGATTTGAAAATGTTTTGTGCACTGGTATAAGATAAATATCAAGAACATCCAAAAAAAAGTTTTTTTTTTTTTTCAGATTGAAAAATAGTGTATGCTTTTTAAATATGCTCTGTAGACTATCAAATTCTGTTTCTCTGTCTATATTGATATTAGATTTGTAGAAATATGATGTTGTAATAGAAATTTAAGTGTTTGTGGAAATGGTCATAATGTTAATTGCAAATTACTTGACCATCTGTATTTCTGGTTTAATCCTTAACCTGCTAGAACCAAATTGATAAATCCTTGTCACCAATCATAGAACAACTTAGACCTGCACTTTTGTGTAATCTGACCAGGGTCTATAGTGTTGGCTAACCAATTTTAACTTTTATCTTGATATTCCTCAAAATTGTTAATGGACAGCTCCCTGAATTGTAGCTGCACATGTCTTTTTTAAGAAACACAGGTTCAGGGTAAAATTCCAAACAGGGTCATTGCATTGCTTTGTGTAATAAAAGCTTACAAGCTAGCAGAATAATGTTTTGTGAGATATTTTTTTTAACTGACTGCAAAAAAGAGAAGTTGCTATGTTAATGATATTTCACTTCTATAAGACAGTTTAGAATGCAAGGCAGAGACATTCTTGTCCATGATACAAAATCTGCAGAGTAAAGGTGGATCATAATTGTATCACTAACAACTATTTATATTATCATTACAGAGCAATAGAGCTACTCTAAAGATGGATGTTTCTCATACAGATCACTCTCATGTCATAGGCAAGGGAGGTAACAACATTAAACGTGTCATGCAAGAAACAGGCTGTCATGTGCATTTTCCTGACTCTAACAGAGGCAACAATGTGCAGGAAAAAAGTAATCAGGTAAGAATGGTATGTAGGTACAGATCATGTCATGTGAGAGATAAGTGTTTACTGCAAAATCTGAAATGGCTTCTTCCATGCAACTGTGAAATTTTACATGTGATAATTGAGATGCTGTTTCACGATGAGTCATCATCATCTAGGATTTGATTAAAACATATTTAGTTTTCATTATCAAAACATTTATCAACAGTAACGTTTACACGAAAACCTCAAAATGCATTGCAATCTAATTTAACACATCTTACAGAAATTCAGCTATATTCATAACTTTTTTTTGCATCATTATGATAATAAGCTGAGAGTTCCATAATTAAATTGGGTGTACAAGAAAGACTGTCATTAAATTTGAGTTTTTCCTCAAGTCAATTCTGTCAGCTACCAGCTCAGAAAGAATAAATTATTTCCTGTCTAATCTTATCTTCTTTGTTTAATGCCTATTTTACTATAGCATCTAGTTTAACCAAGGTCCTGTCTGACAATTATTGCTAGAAGAGGCAACACAAAGTGTACTTAGGCTATACAAAGAAGCTATAAAACTGAAAATAAAATCTGGGAAAAAAAATCTTAGGTAGTACTATGCATGTAGGCAATATACATGAATGTATTTTCAACATCTACGCTTCATTTAAAATGTTTGCAATTTATTGTTTTCCGAACATTTCATGCTGGATAGATTAAATATGATTGTTATGTTCATCCCATGGTGTGAAATAATATTAATATTGTTGGTGTTTAATGCAAGATGATCATTTTGTTTAATACAAGAATTAATCTTTAATGAGTTTATTAAATTTCATATCGTAAGTTTTCATTGTTTGACTGTATTATAAATTATGTAAGCGTTGAAGCAATGGATGTGCATTATTGTGAAGCGCACACTCATATAAAGGTATGATTCAAATCAAAGAACTATTGTATATAATATAGGAAGAGAAATAAGGTTCAAGTTCCTACTCATATAAAGTTAGAGAAATAAGGCTCAAGTTCCTACTCACATAAAGGTAGAGAAATAAGGCTCAAGTTCATACTCACATAAAGGTAGAGAAATAAGGCTCAAGTTCATACTCACATAAAGGTAGAGAAATAAGGCTCAAGTTCCTACTCACATAAAGGTAGAGAAATAAGGTTCAAGTTCCTACTCATATAAAGGAAGAGAAATAAGGTTCAAGTTCCTAGTCATATAAAGGAAGAGAAATAAGGTTCAAGTTCCTAGTCATATAAAGGAAGAGAAATAAGGTTCAAGTTCCTAGTCATATAAAGGAAGAGAAATAAGGTTCTTGTTCCTAGTCATATAAAGGAAGAGAAATAAGGTTCAAGTTCCTACTTGTATAAATTTAGGAAGAGAAAAAAGATTCAAGTTCCTACTCGTTCCTACTCATCTACTTGTATAAAGGTAGAGAAATAAGGTTCAAGTTCTGACTACTTGTAATAAGGTTCGAGGATCTACTTGTATAAAGGTAGAGAAATAAGGTTTAAGTTCTGACTACTCATATAAAGGAAGAAAAGTTTTGAGTTCCTACTTGTATAAAGGTAGAAAAATAAGGTTTGAGTTCCTACTTGTATAAAGGTAGAGAAATAAGGTTCAAGTTCTGACTACTTGTATAAAGGTAGAGAAATAAGGTTCAAGTTCTGACTACTCATATAAAGGTAGAAAAATAAGGTTTGAGTTCCTACTTGTATAAAGGTAGAAAAATAAGATTCAAGTTCTGACTACTTGTATAAAGGTAGAGAAATAAGGTTCAAGTTCTGACTATTCATATAAATGTAGAAAAATAAGTTCAAGTTCCGTACTTGTATAAAGGTAGAAAAATAAGATTCAAGTTCTGACTACTTGTATAAAAATGAGAAATAAGGTTCAAGTTCTGCATAAAGGTAGAAAAATAAGGTTTGAGATCCTACTCCTATAAATGTAGAGAAATAAGGTTTGTGTTCCCAGAAGAAATTTTTACCTACTTGTGTAATCATTGTAAGAAATTACTGAAAAGATATGATAGAGGTAAATGATATAGGTATATGATAAGATATCAGAAATAACTTGAAACTAATAAGCCTTATTAAATATATCAGATAGTGAAGCAAGATGGATACAATTTTCAGAAACCTCTTATTGTTGTTGTGTTTGAGCAGAATGAGAAGAATTTGTAATTATTCTGTTTATATATTTTCATATTCTTACAATTGATATAAAGAAAACAAAAACCAAAAACAAACAAAAAACTAAAAATTTTAAAAGAAAAATGGTAAAGCATCATTTAAAAACTAAATAGAAAACCTTTTTCTCTATTATTTGGTTTTTAGGGTGTATTTTTCTGTGCTTTGTGCCCCAGCTAATCTATGTAAGAATTTCAGTTTATGTTTTAGGTTTTTAGACCTTAGTGGAGTTCCATTTAACTACATACAGAAATTTTAAATTCAAAACTGAGAAAAATTTACCAAGCATAACAAAAATGTTACACTTTTACAAGGAATAAACAAAAACTGACAAATATTCTTAATTTGCCTTAATCATAAATTTCTTTTGCTGTGCAGAACTTCCAGAGAGGTTCATTAGCCTGGAGTGTTCAAATTTTGGTGCAAATTCCACGAATATAAGTTTTCTTTACATAAACCATTGAGAGTGAAAGATAAGATTTGGTGAAGAATTGGAAAGAGAGAATTTTGGCATTTGACATTGTAGCTAGTTAACTGGTTCTGACGTGATTATTTGCAAGTCATTAGTTTTTCCATTGTTTTTGTAAAGTGGCAGCAAATTTGTGAAGTGGTTGCAGTATTTTGTCAGGGTGAATAATGGCTGATAGATTTAAAGCAGTAATTATTTAATTATAATGAATCATAACAATCTATTTTACCAGTCTCTGATATCTACACAAGACTGAGAGATAAATATATATTCAAGTCTCTACTGATGCAAAAGCTTAATATTTTCATTACTGTTTTATAAATGACTCATTAAAAGATTATGGTAGATCTCAAATAATATCTCTTTAGTATAAATATTATTACTCAGAGACATAAAAATAATTCATTAAAAAAAAAACACAGACTATGTGTGATCAGGATACAATAAGAAATGGTCACTTAGGATAAGGATCATTTGTCACCTTAGTGTAGAAACAGGTTAACTCCTTTTAAATTTAAGCAAGAGTTAATCTGTTACTGCACTAAGGTGATACATTATTAGTTTGAAAATCTTTTCAAATAATTAATTTGTAAATTTTATATATATTTACAGGTATCAATAGCAGGTCAGCCACAAGGAGTAGAGGCTGCTAGAGCAAAGATCAGGGTAAGTGATAAAAGAACCAAACTTGAGCCAGTAGAACAATATTTTTAGTTTAGTGTAAACGTTCTGTATAAAAGCTTGATTATGAAGAAAGCTTATATCTTGTTTGAATCCTTTTTTAAGTGGTCTTTCCTTGAACTACCAGTAACCAGCACTGGTGTCATATGAAGGGACATATAGCGGAGATCTCAGTAGGGCTTGAACACATAATCCTTGGTTTGAGAGACAGGCAGATGTCCGGCCGAAATGAAATAAGGGGTCATTTCTTTGTAGTTTCCTTTTGTTTAATAGAGAGCCAATGAGCAGTGCAGACAAAAATCAGATGGCACGAATGTGCTAGCTGATCTTGGTCTGCAGTGGTTGCTATAGTAGATTAAGTTGCCGCTAGTAACCTAAGGGTAAATTAAAAATATTCGTTTTGACAAATTGTTAATTACAGTACAGCATACTAACAATGAAAAAAAAGAAGATAAAAACAACATAAACTACAGAAAGGCAAAAGGACTAAAGCATTTACTCATCTCACCATAATTACTTTAAGATTTAAATCAGTTTTACAGTGATGGCCTTACTCAATCATTATGAACATAAATTTTAATAGAAGTGTTTCATTTGGCACAAGTTTATTTAACTAGAACCAATAGAAAATATTCTATGAAAACTGGAAATGCATGATTGAGAAGTTAATGTTAAGATGATTTATTTTTTTCATAATTTTTATCTGTTTGAAAAATCAAGCTGAATTTTTAAGATAAGCTTAGTTTAACTGTGGTAAGGTCTATATTCATGCTGGGTTTAATGATACTAAAAAATGAATGGATGAAAAAACGGTATATTTTTAAAAAAAAAAAAAAAAAGTGTTCAAGACATAAAGTTCAGTTGTACTGGTATTTGAGAGATAATAATCATTATATGAGCCGCGTCACGACAAAACCAACATAATGGGTTTGCGACCAGCATGGATCCAGACCAGCCTGCGCATTCGTGCAGTCTGATCAGGATCCATGCTCCTCGCTTACCAACCCTATTACAAGTAGAGAAACTGATAGTGAACAGCATGGATCCTGATCAGACTGCGCGGATGCTCTCTCTTCTCTTACTAGTAAGAGAGAGCAACCTATAGAATTCAGAAATAGTCAGAGAAATAGACCTACTTACTAATGCAAACTTAGATAAAGATATGATTTCATAAACTGATTGTGTCACAACATGGTAAAATGTAAATCACAAAAAAATATAATTATATTTGGTAAATATAAAGCGAGAAAAGTTAAATAATAAGAACCTGATATTAGCTTTCAGGACTTTGTAGAACTGTGTCTAATACTATTGATATCAAAATGTGAACCATCAAATATAACAACAGTAGAAAACATTGTAAGATTGATGCAAACTATTTTTGTAGTATGAAACTTGATGTAAGATTTGTCCTTATTAACATTGAACAGATACCGGTACAAAGAAATGATATTTCTTATCTTCACTGTAATGAATAATCAAAACAAATTTTCTCTTCTTTGAAAAATTGAATAAGAAATGTATTCCTTGCAGTATAAAGACCCAGCTTACAGGAAAATACATTATCAAAGTTTAAAAGTAATTCCAAACTGAATAACCAACTGTTTTTAATTACTGAATTTCGTTTTTCAAAGTAGATCCTGGAACATTTATCTTTGAACATGTTTTTGAAGGGACAGATTTATTTGGGATGTAAAGTGTATGATTCATACATTCAGCCAGATGTGATAGTTGTTGTTTTGTTGTATCAGTTGCTGTTGTTTATCTTCTCAGCTGCATAAACAACATTCACCAGACTAACAAGTAGAGAATTAACTGTAATAAATGCACCAGGTGATTTCATCTACATGTATATGTAATTTCATTATTTTTTATACAATATTATTAAGGGGGATTTTAATAGAAGTAATGAAAATGATGCATTTCTGTATTTTTTTTAGCAAGATAAAAAGTTTTGTGTCTGCCTTTCATCCAAGGGATAATAAGTTCAAGTCTTACTAAGTCTTGGGTCACAGCCATGTTTCCTCATAAATATGGCACCAGTATTGCTTAGTTTCAGGAACCAGACTGAAAAGAAGTTTAATCAAAATTACAACATTTGCTATAATGATGTTGTGTTAAAATACAAATAATAACTAAAATAACAGAATAGATTTGGTATACAATTCAGTAATATTTTGTAAAGAAACATTATAATAACTGAAATACTATTTTTTTTTTAAAAATGTAAACCTTGCTGAACTAGCAAAGAAACAAGATTGAAATTTCTGTCTTTTAACAAGCAGTGGCTCCATATTTAAAGAGGACCAAATCTATTACAAAAAAATTAAAAGGGATTCAAATTAACAGGAAATTGTGTTTTTAATGATGCCGTCTGCTTTTGGCAGAAGGTGAGAAACTTGCCTCTAAAGTAAGTTCTGTTTCAAAGTTAAAAGAAATCTTTCAAAGTTAAATTTTTGATATATAATTTTGAAATTTAATAGCTCACTGGACTGAATTATTTCATTATAAATGACACTCTAGTTAATTAGTTATGAGAAGTTTTAGAGTAGAAAATTTCAAGATTTGAAGCTTCATAATGAATTGCATCCTCTTCACATTGAAGTTTTGTTGTGATTTTGTAGGCACTGTAAGAATTATTCATTATCTATTTTTAGATTTCTTTTATGATCTGTGTGTATTATATAACACAATTTGATACATCAGTGCAAGAAGGTTGTAACTGATTCTTTATTGATATACAGATACAATACTCTTGCAGCCACATGATAAATTGTGAAAAATGCATGTATCAAGGAGCAGGGCGTATTGAAAATGGTGTCAGAATTGTGCATGTTTAATGTTATCTAATGTCTAAAAAGTTGCTAATTGTGTCAGTTTGTATTACATAATCTGATACAGACATAGCGCTTAAAGCAGACAAACCCATTGTCAATTCTGTTATATCTTTAGGGGTATTGTACTCGGAAATCTACAAATGTAAACAAACTTTTAAAATTAATGTCAGTTTGTGATGCAAAGTATTTTGGCATTGGTACAGAGGTATAATTTTCTGTTCAAATTTTATACTCAGTTTTACGGCAGGGTAGGTGAAAGAAGTTAGGATAAAAGATCAAGTTTATGGTGTCTTGAAACTATTTTTAGGATGTTTTAGGTGCCAAAGATATCTTCTTTCTCTTAAATTAGTTTAATAACTTACCCTGAGCAAAATTAATTTGCATTGATAGATTATATAAATAACACATGGAAATATTTATTAAAACATGCAATCAAGAGTTGTTGCCCTTTATTTGATTTGATGTCAGTTTATGATAATGTTTTTTCTCCCTATTGATTTACAAGTTATATAATGAGACTTAGAGACAAGTAAGAAAGTGTAGAACTAAAAATTAAATTTTTTTTTTAATGTTTCCTATTTTGATTTTATGCAGTTGTTTCATAAGCAAATTGCTGCATTAGAAGATTTTTAGGGGAATGTTCTATAAGTTATTTCTTTATGCCAAAGTATAGATAGGGAAAATACAGGTTTAAATTAATCTTTGGCTATGTAATAATTTTTTACCAAAAATGAAATATAAACGTCTGTATTATTTTTTAAACATTTGACACTCTCTTGTTATAGACTGATAGTTTTACTTGTTCTCTTTTTTCTTCAGGAGTTACTTCCCCTGGTATTTATGTTCGAGCTGCCGGTGACCACTATCCCAATACAGATACCAGATTTACAGTCGCCGGCCATGCAGCAGCTACAACAACAATACAATGTTAACGTCAGCTTCCGACAAAGGCAACGAGGTTACGGCACCACTGTGATTGTACGAGGCTCTGTCTATAATGAAAAACTTGTTAAAGAAGCCACATTGAAAATGATGGATCTGTTATTAGGAAAATTACCAGTAAGTGTGCTCATGATAAAAGCAGCATTCTAGTCTAATTTTATCAATTCTGTAAGGTCTATATAAATTTTACTTTAGGTTTATTCACAGTACACACAGAACTCCAGTGTATCAGTGTTATGGTTTGTTCTGCTAGTTATTAAAGTTTTTTCATCAATAATAGAATCTTATTTATTTGTTCCTTGTTGTATTTGGTGCTTTTCCAGCATACTGTCTTCAAGAGAATCACCAGAGACTGACTTTACCATAATCAATAAAATTTTCGGATTTTTTTCAATGTGAATAATTCTGATAATTGGGTATGAAGCGTTAAAATTTCATGAGAATGAAAGGAAAGCAAGTCACTTTATTTAAATTCATTTTGATCTTCCCTGCTGTGTGCCAGTACATATTTGTTGAATATTTTAGTACCAAACAGATTGACATGATTTTAACATACTGTTTCATACAAACCTTAAAATATGTCATTCCAGTATAATGAATAAAAGAGCATAGCAAACATAGGGATCAGAAAAATCTCTCACATGGAATTCCTTTTCAAACACATGCACAGACAAGTCACTATGGAATTGTCTGACACATAAACTTTCCCCCTGTTCTAGGCCAATAGATTAACTTAGTTACGCTTCCTCGATTAGTTATTTAAAAAACTTAGTTACTTTTTGTCAATTAGTTATTTATAAAAGCTGGTAACAATCTACTTATTGGTATAAAAATGTTGACATGTTTCCACTTACTGGCAATAAATTGAAATTAGTGAAGTGTTTTGATGTAGATTACCCCATATTTTAAAAGACATGTTTATAACTTAGGCCTAGCATGATGTAATTGGTTTTATAGCAAGCACCTGGTAATGTTCAGAACCTTTTAACACTTTTATCATAACTTTAATATGCATTGTTTAGTAAAGCATGCAGGTGATGTAAGTGTTCCGTGAAAGACCTTCCTTTTTTTATTGCCAGATGCAAAAAAATAACAAGTAGTCTTAAGTGAAGTAAATTTATGAATGAATGTTGCCATGTTATCACAAGAGGCAGATGTATCCATGTGTTTGTTTGTGAAAGTCAATAATTACAGCACATTAGTTCAATAAATTTGAAGTGTTAATAATACACTTTAGCCTCCATGGTAGAGCAAGGCCTGCCCATTCAGGTGTTCAAATTGACAATTCTTGATATTGAATATTCATTGCCACTCTGAGATTTTAAAACTACTTATTGAATATTCCTTAAAACCTGACCCGCTGAATTTCAAAAATGGAGTTGTACAGTTTCCATTATTGGAACTAGCCAGTATCAGTTTTTAGGGTATCAAGATGGAAAATCAAATGTTGGTCACTCAACAGTGTAGAGCCTGGTCAGACAACATGAATGTGCTGACTGGCCTAAGTCTATACTAGTAGCAAAGGCTGATCCAGCAGTGTAAGGCTTTTCTCTGTCAGGGTGATTTTTTTTGGTCACAAATAGCCACTATCATACCATTAATTGCAGGCTATATCTAATAAATCATAAGATTTGTTTATGGTTGCTCTATAAAATTAAAGATGTGGGGTTATGTCCACTCTATAAAATTAAAGGTGTGGGGTTTTGTCGTCGTCTATAAAATTCATTTGTGGTGTTTTGTCCTCTATAATATTTTGAGGTGTGGGGTTTTGACATGTTGGGTTTTGCCCCTACATTCATATTTGAGAGGTAGTAGGAAGTAAAAAACTGGCTGATGTTCCATTGAGGCCTTTTCAATGTTAATTCTAATGCGAACTGGATTTTTTTTTTTTAATCCAACCCTTCGACCCCTCACTATATTTCATTGATAACATTTTTCGTAGATTTATTTGTTTGTTTTTCTCTTGATAAGAGTCATCTCAACGACTTATTGTAGATCAAATAGTCAGGCAATAAGTGATTTACAGAACAATTTTGAATATCTCATGATGAATTTTGCCGAAATAATGTTTTGACTTTGACTTTCAAAATTTAATCAGAAGAGAAAAAAAGAGATAACAACACACATTTGATTAAATCTTTCCTAATATTTACCTAACAGATACCTTTGGATCATTGATAGAACATGGAGCATGTCCAGGTTTTTAAATAAATTTTGTTTTTTTTTGTATATTTTCTGCAAGCCTATCAGATTTATGAGGAATTCTAAATGATGAGAATTTGTTTTAACAAAGGACAATTTAATGAATAAAAAACTTGGAAGTCTGTCTATCATGTGCTAGAAATGTCTGTCTGTTTTAAAAAGCACAGATGTTTTATGGATTTGCCAAGTCGTGCCTGCCCATTTTATATAAGAAAAAAAAAGGTAAACCATTGTTCTTGTATGTAAAATACCTGGTCTTATCATTTTGTGGGTTGTCACTTGCAGATAAAACACCGCCAAAATAACGCTCCGGTTAATTGGGAAAGTGTGCTGAATTGATAAATAAATCAAATCAAATTTTAGATTTTGGCAGGAGTAGAAAAAAATGATGAATTATTTGAACAATTCTCTCTTACTATTAAAAGTTTTTTTGCAGACAATCTCATTTTCACAGTTGTGGATTGAAGATAGTCAGTGAGTTTTATAGAACACTGGATTCTTTTGTTCTTTGTTTAAATTTTGCCTATTTATATGTTCAGTTCAAAATATATCTCCTGTTATTAAAGGGATAATAGGAAAAAAAACAAAAACACTAACATATTTAGGATGCCATGAAATTGAATTTTGAATTAATAATTTGTGCAGATATTTTCAAGCATTTTTGGTGAGTTTAATAGTAAAATAACTGCATTATGTATTACTTCTTGATTTTACACCTTCAGTGAACTATTTTAACAAACAAAATGCTCTTGGCCTAGTTTACCCAGTATATATCATTTTGCTGATTTTGGTTCAATCTTTTAAGGTTGCATTTGGCAATTTATGTGAAAGATGTTATTTTTTAACCTGCAAATATTTAACTATTTTTGTATGTAAATTGCTGTTGAATAAGAAGAAAAAAAACTCCTGATTATAAAATTTCAATTATTAGTATGAAAACAATTGTGAAGGATCACTATTTGTAATTTTTCTTCAGTTCTGACAATTATAACTCTTATTTAGGATTTAACTCACTTCAGTTTTGGAGCAGTACCTCCAGATGCTTGCACAAAGTAAACAAAAAAAATCCCTTTTTTTCGCTGATTCTTACATTTTTCATTTATGATCATAATACAAATGAGCCGTGTCACGACAAAACCAACATTATGCGTTTGTGACCAGCATGGATCCTGATCAGACTGCGCGGATGTGCAGGCTGGTCTGGATCCATGCTGGTTGCAAACCCATTATGTTGGTTTTGTCATGACGCGGCTCAAATTTAATCTGTTTTGAAATTTGAATTAGACGTCTTAAAAAGCTTTTGGTGGGTAAAGAGATTACTGTATAGCATTTAACCATTCAAGTGCCTTGTCCGGTATATACCGGAATACGGTAATTAGTGTGGTGCTGCAACACTTTATTTTTAGTCTCACTTCTTACTTTATACTTGCAGTCACCATTACCAATTAACATGCAGTTGGAGATTGCCCCACAACATCATCTATTTATCATTGGACGTGGAGGAATGAATATCAAGCAGATTATGCAAGCAACGGGGGCCATGATTCATTTTCCTGACCCAAACAGTGTCACGCCCCAGAGAAAGGGGACTGTATATATAACCGGAACAATAGATAGTGTCTTTCTGGCACGACAACAACTTATTGTAAGTCACCCTGAATGTGAATGCGTATGTGTGTGTGCGCACATGTGTATGCATGTTTTAAAAACAAAGAAAAAATTTCAGAGATTTTTGAAAGAAAACAGTTTATTGTTTATGGGTAATGGAAACATAATTATGTTTTCTTTTGATAAGTCCCCTCCTGACATAACTCCTAGAGTACTAAAGGTTTGTTTTGCCTTTCTGTTTTGTCTGTAAAGAAGTCTTCATTCATAACTCTTGATGTCCTCATATACTAGTGATTACTTCACATAGTACTCAATAATTATTTGAACAAACACATAGGTGGACAAAGTAAATATAAAGTCCTTTGTTTTGTTTTTCTGATAAGCTTGAATATAAATGGTAGCAAACTCTTATGTTTTGCAGAAGACTTTTTTATTCCCTGAACCTCTTGAATATTTTTTGTTTAAATGTCACAATTATGATACTATTCTGAAATAAAAATATGATAGCCTCATAAAAAAACTGAAGTGGGAATTAAAATATCAGCCTGCATGGCTTTTTAATAGCAAATTCATGATGTAAAGTCACACTTCTGAGTTGATTTTTTTGCCTTGAAAATCTGCTTTTTGTCTTAGACTCATATCACCTGGCTTGAATAAACAGTTTACAGTTTTTATAACAGATATTATCTTGCTGAAAAAACATACAACGTTTATGTGTGTAAATAAATTTTAAATAATTATGTGTTAAGTGTGCTGTTTTTGAAACATGCTCATTTTGTTTATTTGTATATTGTCATTTTTATTGAAATAAAGTAAAATTATTTCCGTGATTAATTTCTGAAGTTTAAGGTCTGTGTTTTTTTAAAGAGAGCTTGTTCTTAGGATGAAATAAATGGGCTGTGCTTTAGATATACACAGTATACTTGAATGGCAGAATATAAAGACAAAATAGAATTTCTCACAGATTATTAATGATATCTTAGAACTTGTCAAATATATTAGGAAATGAATAATATGCATCAGATGTTTGTTGTCAGCTCTTAGCTCTCCCTTTTTGGAGGGAAAATTATGAGGGATATGTACTATTTTATGTATGTCTTGCTTTTGATTTACAGGGTTGTCTACCCCTTGTCCTTATGTTTGATGTGAAAGAAGAACTAGAGATGGATCCAGGTATAGCTTAACTTTTACAATGCTTAATTTAATGAATAGACCACACAAAATATGTTTAATGGGTTTGCCCATCTTTTAATCTTGACAAAACCATTCGTGATTGGTAGGGAAATTTCAGAATATATACTGACTGAATAGAGAACAGTTCAGACCATGATCAGACAAATTATCTTGGTTTCGTTGGTAGATTCAGTGGCTGCCAACAATTGCTGAAGTTTAAATTACTTTGTTGTTAAGTTCCGCGCGGTAGTTTTGGAGACAAGAACCCTGATGAAATTATTTTTGACCTCCCTTGCAAATGCGAAGTGGATAAATTCCGTAACGTACCTAATTACCGGACAGTATGTAAACATGGTACTAGGACACTGATATGTTTAAACAAGATTATCGAATATAAAATTCTTCATAATCTCTGTTAATATTCATTAATTACAAATATATTTTCTGTATTGATTATTGTATGGTAAAATAATTTGTTTTGATGTTATTTGTGAATATATGGGTATTTTGTTTACTTCACAGGTAGAGTAACACAGTTAATGGAACATCTTGATGTGTTTATCAGTGTAAAACCTAAACCTAAACAACCAAGCAAAGTAAGTCTTTCATACGTTGTCTTCATAACTAAATTTATTTTTGTGGCTGCATTGAAGAGAAGTTTACACATAAAATAAAGAAAAACAAAATCCCTAAAGAAAGCCCAACTTGGCAAAATTGAAAATGTTGCAGGCTCTGTTTGATTGAGCATGTTCATGGATGAAAGTGGTAATTGCAAGCTACCATCGACGCCCCCTAGGACTGGCTTAAACAGAATTCAACACAAACTTTTCATTGATTTCTTTGTACTGGTGCGTTCCAGGAGCAGATTGGAGAGTGTGTTTATAGGCTGATAGCCTTCAACACAATCAAAATAAAATAAATTCTGCATAAGGTCATAATAAAGCAATTATTTTATACATATGAATATGAGTCCTTACTATTAAACTTATAATATTTTTTTAAGTTTGATCGTGAAATAAGCATGTAGATTCTTTTAAACCAATCTTGAGTCACACAGGGAAATACATATGGTCTTACACGAGGAAATACATAATCATGGTCTTATAATGTTGAATTATTTATGGTCTTGACCCCATTCAAACACTGAAAAAGATCAGGTACCATATTTGATAAAAAAATTTGGCACAATTTAGCCAATAAATACCAATAATAATTTTATAATTAAAATGAAACACTTTTTTCTTATCAAGAGTGATCTGAGTGACACAAATAATGTGCAAAGAAAAAAAAAGAAAGAAAAAAAAGTTGCCTCTTCTCGGGCTTGAACCCGCGCCCCTCAGTTTTAATGCATTTGACAGTAGTTCTAGCCTATTTGAGTACTCTTCAACGTGGAGGTAATGCATTAGGTGGGTCATACCTTAAGAGGAAATATGTATGCTCTTGCACAAAGAAATACATTTGGTCTTACATGAGGAAATACATAATCATGGTCTTATATGTTGAATTATATATGGTCTTGACCCCATTCAAACACTAAGAGACAGACCCCTTTACCACTAGGACTCGACTCCTTTGGCCAAAAATCAAGTGATTAACCACCCCTTTCATATAGATACCTGCATTCTAAACATGCAAGAATAAATTAATGAACATACTGAATGGGGCATTCATTGTTTTCTCTGATATCTTGTTAGTAACTTGCTATATTCTTCTCCAAGTCTGGTTTTTATGATTGTCAAGGTAACAAGTTGACAGTTCAAGAATTTTTGACAAATGTGTGCAATTGATTTAAGTTAACCTTTTACTCCATGAGCATATTGCGAAAAATGTTCGTTTTCATTGAAAAGTCTCCTGTAACAAGTTCAAACTGCTATGAAACTATGAAAAATGATTCAATACTAATGAAACTTGGCACAAATGTTGACTAGACCATAGCCTCTGTAACAGCATGCTCAATTGTAAATTTCCTGTTACCATGGCAATGGGGGGTCTCAAAATTGCCAAAAATCACTATTTTGCATTGATATTTTCCATCAAAACTGATTTCAAAGTGCTGCAACTTCTCAATGAATTCAGATAGAGTAAAAGGCTTTTCAGTGTCGTTAACTAGTTACCCTAAGATCGACCTGAGGCCATTTTTAGCCTGTCACATGTCCAAAATTTTATTGGTGATGAGGGGGCTACCGCCCCCCTTAAAAGCCCCCAAACAGAAGGGGGCACATTCTCTTCTGGCAACCCCCTGATGTAACATTTGGATGGGGAGCGGTGCCAAAAAAGTGGTCACTTTTTTTAACAACATTTCTCAAACGAAAAACAGTGTTTGGGGTCTAAATAGTGCATTTTTTCACTGTTTGAGGCCTCAAAAAGGAGGTGGGGGGGGGGACAAAAAGCCGTCAAAACACGTCTATATCAGGGAAAAGGTTAAGAAATACCAGAAAGAAGTTTTTTTTATTTTCCAAAACTCAGACATGAGTTTATGTGATATATTCAAATTTATTTTTTTGTATGTAGACATAATTATTATAATTGTACAAAATAAAAAAACATTCATATAAGCATATATTAAGGTTTATGGTTTCATTGAGAGAGTGATATTTATTTTATGGTATATTATTATTACAGTCTGTGATAGTGAAAAGTATAGAGAGGAACTCCTCCAACATGTATTTAGCACGGCTCCTGTTATTAGGAATAGAGAAGAAGTTACCACAGCAACCAGTTCATCAAATGACAGAAGAGGGAACTCCGTCCAATGTTCTCAGTTTAACAGCCTTAGGTTTGTCTTTAAATAAATATGTATATTTATAGTTTAGAGATTGTTTAAAGCGGCCTTCAGCTTACCTAATGGTTAAATATGTTATTTTTATATAAATCCTTTGACAAATCAAAAGATGAAAGAAGAAGAAATTTGCCAACAATAAAATACATAAACAATAAGGAAACCTCTCGATACCTCTAATCTATCAGAGTTGCTCTCTATATGTAAATTAGTAAAGCAAACAATTTGTTTCCCGATCTTAAATTTTTAAAAATGAAGGTCACTAATAAATAGCTCTCGGGACGCTGTTTTGAAGAAAGCTTTAAAGTGATATGATGCACTTTTCCTAGATAAAAATAATGTTAAATACATACTTAGTTTAAACAATACAGAAGTGAAGACAGCTGTAATGACAGTGACAGCTTTTGCTAATTTTGTTAAAAAGATTTATTGTACTTTAAGTTTAAGAATAACTATGTATCTTATGTTAAACTGAAGCATTTTGATATTAAGATATTACAATAGGCTGGAAGCTAAATGTCTGGTTAGATTGCATGAGAGTGTCTGTTAAATTTCTTTTTATTGTTGCAGGGACATGTACTTCTTGAATTATAATAATTTGTCCTATCTCGATAATTTCAGGATACTTTGGCCACAATGTACCGCAGAATATTCAGCAAACCCTCCAGATAAATACAGCTAATCAATTGTTACTAGTAAATGGTCAGAAGAGCCCACCAACCACAGCTAACACCATGAGCCCAAAGAGTCCCAGAAGCCCGAACATGAATACATCAAGCCCTAACCACTATGTTTCCCCTCCACCAGGTAAATGTTTATCTCCTTGGTAGTGAAGTTAGAGAAATATGAGTACATTCATAAAAACATAAAAAAAAGATAACAGTTTCTTGAGAAATATCACAAATTGAACATGGTTCATTTCTTAAGATAAAAAAAGTATCGGTGTGTTACTGATAACAAAATATTTAAAAATTGCGGACCTTCCCTTTTTAGCTCGACTTTTCTATGAAAAGGGGAGCTATCCTACTCGCCCCGGCGTCGGCGTCGGCGTCGGCGTCACACCTTGGTTAAGTTTTTCGTACCACCCCACTTTATTTCAGAAGTATTACAAGTATGGCTTTGAAACTTACCATACTTGTTCACCATCATAACCTCCATCTACAGACAAGAGTACATAACTCTGTCAAGGTTTTTGACAGAATTATGGCCCTTTTTTGACTTAGAAAGTGTATTGAGCTTGGTTAAGTTTTTTGTACCACCTCACTTTATTTCAAAACCATTGGAGGTATTGCTTTGAAACTGACCATACTTGTTTACCATCACGACCTTCATCAACAGACAAGAGGACATAACTCTGTCAAGGTTTTTGACAGAATTATGCCCCTTTTTGACTTAGAAAATACATTGAATATGGGTAAAATCCACTTATTGCCTTAACCCTTTGAGATATTGCTTTGAAACTTTTAATGCTATTTCACATCATTACCCCCATCTGTACGCAAGAGAAGGTAACTCTGTCAAGGATTTGTTTTAAAAATTAAGGCCTTTTATCGACTTAGAATCTTGGTTAAGTTTTTAGTACCAGTCCACTTTTTGACTGAACTGTTTGAGATATTAATTTGAAAGTTGGAATACTTGTTTACAATCATGATTCCCAAACATGTCCAGGAGAAGGTAATTCTGTCAAAGATTTTATTTGAATTATGGCCCTTAACTGTCAATGTTTTGTGTATTATAGGCAAGCACTAAAAAACTTAAAAAATCTAAAAAAATTCATTCCTATCCACTTGTTCACTTTACCATAAATTATGTCATATAAACATTGCTGTAATATTCAAGGGTATCAAACAACTAGTTTTTTTTTCTTTCTTACCAGCCCTCTTTTGACTTAAACATTTCAAACTTTGCTGCAGTGTTCAAGGGTATCACACAATTCAGTAAAATAATTCTTCACTAAATATCTTAATGCTCATGGCCATTGTTCACTTTAAAAATACAGAGATTCTTGTATTGCCTTTTACTGCAAAAACTTTTTTTATTGGCAAGCAATAAAAAAGTCGAGCGCGCTGTCTTACGGACAGCTCTTGTTCTAGTGACAGGTTACTGCTAACTGGTTTAAATGGAAATGATTTTTTATATTGATACTGAAATAAACAAGCTTCTTGTATATTTCTTCTGATTCAGTCTTGATAACATTTTACATGTAACAGAGATTATCATAAAAAATGTACTGATAGTTTTATTTCTTTTAGAATTTTAATGTTTATTCTTGGACAGAATGGTTAATCTAGTATCAATATAATGTTACTTTATAGGGGTTATCATATGAATGTGTTTGTGGTCTTGTATAAAGTTTTCCATTAAGAGGATAAGTAGCTTAGTAGTTAAGTTATCAGCTTCTCAACCCTGCGGTTGTGGCTTCAAGCCCTACTAGTGTCAGGATAATGATTCTTAATATGACTCTGGTATTGGTCAGTGTCTTGAAAGCAATAAGCATTGAATTAAATATTACCAGTGAACCCTATCACCTGTATAACTAAAGAATGGTGATAAGAGATATCCTGTATTACAAAATACATTTTCATTATAAGGATAATTTGACATTTTGTTGTAGATAATTATGCTCCCAATAATGATAATATGATATTTTGTTTTAGGTATTTATGCTCCAATGATGGTTGTACGTCCAGCGGTTTCCGTCCAGAATGTAGTTGATCTCATGAATCACTGTAATATAAATGGTATACAGAAAGATGTCAGTCAGAACGCTGGTTTCCAACAAACAACGCAGACATTAAATGTCACTGATCATGGTACATGTTTTATATTTTAACCCTTTACCTATTGGTGGATACTAATCTACCCATGCAGCCAGTGCAGACCAAGATCAGTCGACACATCCCCAGCACATCCGTGCCATCTGATCATGATCTGCACTGTTTGCTATTCAGTCAATTCAAATTTTGAAATTTCCCCTAGAAATTATGAATGGTCTTGTCTTGATTGAAAGATGGGCAAGTCCATTTTAGATATTTAGGGTGGAAAGCATTAAGTAAATGTATACTGTTAGGTTTGGCAAAACTACATAAATATAGAAAAAGTAGTCTTTAAAGACACTACTGACTTATTCAATTGAAAGTTTGCAAGAACTGAATGGTTTATCTTATTTAAAAAATTATATTCTTTTATTGTTTATTTAAGACAGCTAACATAATTTGAAAAAGTGCCCAAAACCACACTTCCTGTTTATTTACACTCAGCAAAAAAGGTCAGTCAATAAGAGGCAAAAAATGTTTGAAATGTGAAAAGAATAAAATGTTATACATGTGTACAAATTTATGTACCTTGGTGTTTAATATCGATACCATTGAAATAAATTGTTTGTATTTTTATATAGTAGGTAGAAATAGGAGTGAAGCTAGCAGTCCGTCCAGAAGTCCTTGTGAAAGTCCTTCAAGCTTCAGGGAAAATACTAGTGCTGGTTAGTATTATATGCATGTATTTTAACCTTTACCAGTGACTAGCCTTTGCCTTCTGTCAAGTACACATTCATGCAGTTTTGAGCAAGCTGACTGACTTAAATTGTCATGATAATAATCCTTTATCAACATTGATACTGGACAATTCTGAAAATGGAAGCTGGACATGTCATTTTAAGAAATTCAGTGGGTTTAGGGTCATTTTTGTTTATAGTGCTCAGAATGTAAAACAATGGTTGTGAATTTGATAAGCACAATAGGGCACATCAGACAAGCTGAGTTTGGATAGCACAGGGCAGATATTAGGTGAGCTCAATCGATTGTTTGATTGGGGAACTATGGCTGTGAGGTTAAGGCTGCTAACTTTGAATCACTTGCCCCTCACTGTATGTTCAAATACTGTCAGGGACTTTGGCTTCTGTCATGTGAGGAATCTATCCAGCTAGCTTTCAGAAGGTTTGTGGTTCTACATAGATGTCAGCTTGTGCCCTGAAATAATGCATAAAGGGCACTGGAGATCTTCCTCTACCAATAAGACTGGAAATATGTCATATGACCTTTGTAATTTTGTTATGACTTAAAAAAAACAACAACAAAATAAAATACCACAGCTGTTTCATATGATTTATGTAAAGAGAATGACTTGTAAGTACTGGTACAGAATACATGAAATCTTTCTATGAAAGTGCCAGCCTGTATCTGAAAAAAATATTTATATATATTTTTTTTTTTAGACATAATTGTTGAAAATATATAAACATTTGAATGTATTGTAATATCTTGATTAATATTCATCTCAGCATTTGATTATTTAATTAAAAATTTGCAAAAGAACTATTTTAAGCAGAATACATGTAATTAAAATGTATAGTTTATATAAAAAAAAGTCTAAAATTGATATTTCAGTTGATTTAGCTGGTCTATCAACATCAAATGGTTTTGGTAATATTGTCACATCACCACGACCAAATTCTACCCTGACTAGTAGTGGACATACACTAGACCTGCTAGGTAAGTAGTAATTGATTCTATTTAATACTGCACGTTTGTAACATTGCTTTTCATTGGATAATCGTGACGTTTATTTAGTTTAATATGCACGACTGGTGTTAATTTATGTTGGAAACCCACTTTTCTTTTAAAAAGTTTGCTGTATTATAAATTTGTTATAATTATTCCTGACAGGTTATATGACCGTACATAACTGGTTGTTTACAATATAAACCTTGCCTGATGGTTCAGGTTATATTTCCAAACAGCTGTTTATATAGGGCCATATAACCTGTCAAAAAACTAATAATATAAAATGATTAATAAGCTTAAAACATAAATAATCTCATTGTTAATGGATAAATTATCAAAATATGAAGAAAAAAAGTCCCCAAAAAACTAAAACTGATTACAAGGATGAAAATTGCAAATTATGTGAATTTTATTTTTGGTGATTAAAGCGTGTTTATATAATCTTTCAGCCTTAAGACAGACCTAAACCAAGACAAAATTATAGGTTATATTAGTTTTCACAGCCATGCAGATGGCCTAGCCTCTATTCTGTTGACAGTTGAATTTAAGTATGATAATTAAATGCTGGAAACTACTTTTGGACTCTATTACTCATATATTCAAATCAGGTAATATCCATTAAACAAATTAAGCAGTGTAAAGATGGTCTAAAATGCATTAAGGATTTTTAGGGCACTAAAACTATTAAAGTTATTGTAATCCCCTGTTTTATTTACTTACAGGACTGAGTAAACCCAAAGTACCACTAAGTAGCAGTGCACACACAATGGATTTACTTGGACTGAGTAAAACAACAAATCCTATGAACGAAATTTCCTTCCTTAACAGTGGCTTAAGCAATGGTTCCCTCCATGGTAGTTTGAACAGTGCTTCCCTGCATGCCAGCCTGAACAACGCCTCGTTACATGGAAGCATGAATAATATGAACAGTGCATCATTACACAGCAGTATGAACAATGGATCTCTTCATGGAAGTTTAAATAGTGCCTCACTACGTGCTAGTCTTACTAGAAGTCATCTCACGTAAGTTACTTTTAATTTTCTTTAACCATTTTACCTCTCAATATTCCAAAGATATATTAATTTCTTCATATCATACCTATAATTGATGATTTTCATATTCAGCCATCAGTTTCTCTTAAGGGTAGAAAATTTCATGGACATAGTTTTTGCTAATTTAAATAGAGCCAAGTCACTTGAAACCATGCTAATTTAAATAGTGCCAAGTCACTTGAAACCATGAAAAGAGACAATAAGATGCACATTAAACAGATTCAATAGAAATGTCATCAAACTGATATGTTACTTCTTTAACAATTATTTAATCTTATGATTACTAGCCATGATAATAGTTCTCATCTTTTCAGTTTTACCAGAATCTACGTAATTTGTCACCTTAGTGCAATAACCAATTAACTCCTATGTAATTAAGAAGAACGTACACCGTTACTGCACAAGGGTGACAGTTTATTTTTATCTGCTTCATTTTATTACATGTATTTCACTAATAAAGTCTCGCAAACACAAGAATTGTCAGTCCAGAATTCAAAGTGGAAGAAGTAAGTCCATTACAGAGAAGCACCACATTAAATATAACTAAAAGTTCTAAAAATTTTAAACAGAATTTATATATTATGTTTTGTAGGAATGGGGATGGACGTTTACATGAAGATTTAAGAGCACCTGGTATAGAGAGGAAGAACTCCACATCTAATCATTTTGCTGATACTTTCCAGCCATTTGGTGTGGATTATGAGCAGAAGAAATTATTGGCAAACAAAGGTATAATCATTTGTAAAAAAAGCATAAAAATCTTTGTATGTATGTCTTTTAAAGTTATAAATGAATTTGTTATATTGATACAAACAGCAGCTAATTCCCTCTCTAAAATATCTTTGCTGGAACTGAAAGTCTATGCTTAAACTTCACCCAATAAAATTAAAGGATTATTCTTTAGTAATTCTGTTCCTGACAGGCCACAGATATCTTTCCGCTAAAACAAAATGCTACATGTACTTTCCAGTCAGTGAGAAAAAATATCGGCCAACATGGACAAGATTGACTATAAAATGATTGTTAATAGTTGGAACTAAATTTTTGTTTTATATTTTAGCTATTCAGAAGAAACCTATAGGAGAATCTCGTACCCCAACAGATTTCTGGTCAGGCCTTGGTTTCTCCAAGTCTATGCCAGAGTCTGCTATAAGAGAAAGAATGCAACAGACAGGTGTCAGACAAAAATACGAACCTCCCATGGCAACAACTTATGAGGTTAGTATTAGCTTGTGGTTAACAATCTTTGGTGTTTGGGTATCTGAAATTAGCAATATTTGGTATCAAATTTTGCATTAGTACAAATAGTTAGATTTGAAGCAATTTTTTTCATTGGATAAATCTGCTTCGCATTTTCTTATAAACGCGAAACTGTAAAAAAAAAAGAAAATATGAAGTCCTTCAATGAAGAACTAAGTTTGAATATGATTGTGTGATTTCCTCTTGCCAATTCTACTTGCCTGACTTGTAAGAGAATCATTTTCAAGGGAAACAACCTTAATTCTCCCATGTATAGAAAGCAGTTGTAGAAAGATATATTTTCATTTGAAATTGGCTACTGATTGTCCCCAATTAAAAAACTATTTTTGTTAAAGCTGTATATGTTTTGAAAGATGATATAGAGTGGCAGCATGGCCGTTGGTTAGGGCATCTGACTAGTTATCTCAGAATTGCTGGCCGTGTGGGTACAATCTCCATCAGCAGCAAGCAGTTTTTTCCATGAGCAAGAAACTTTACACTCATTGCTTAGTAATGGTTGGTTCCAGGAACGGATTCTAGAGTGTTTCAATAAGCTTATAACTTCCAACACAATCAAACTAAAATAAATTAGTAACTAAACTAAAATAAATTATTATAAACTAAAGATGACAATACATGTAGTACAATTAAATGTTTAATGCAGTGTGAATGTTAATGGAATGATTTTATATATTGTGTAGAATACAGCAGAAGAGATGTCAGAGATGGACAGAGATCCATGGAGGGACTCTACCACCATGTATAACAGACCACCAATAAACCCAGCACCAGGAGAATATCCTAGTCCTAGGAAAAAATGTAAGACACTTTTATAACATGTTCACTTAGGTGGTGTATCATACCTAACTTTACATTGAACAATTTCAGAATGTTGAACTTAAATCCCCATTGTGTAAGTTGTACAACCATGAGTTCTGAATGTTACGGTCTAATAGGATAAAATAATAATATTAGTATATTATTGAACCATATTGATTACTTTATTCTTTGCCTATGCAACAAATACTGAGAATTCAATTTATATGGTTGGCATGAAATTTTGTGATTTTGTCACAAAGAACATGTTTGTGGGTTACTAAATTTACCAAAAGGTAAAATGTAAATAATGTGATGCAGAATAATCTTACAGCAGACGAAATGAAATTTCGTTGGATCTTAAATTCATTGGATTGACCTATCCATGAAAACCATGAAAATTAGTCCCCCATGAAAAATAATGATTTGGCAGTACAGTCAGGCCATACAGTTCAACTACTATCTACATGTATATTTATCAGCTGTAAGTTGGGCGAAAGGAGAAAATGCATTCAGTGTTTTAATGTAAGGGTTAGTGAGAATTTTTTATTTTTAGGGCCGGAGTATGGATTAAGTGCAAGTAATCATATAGATGGCGCCCTTGTACCAAGCAAGTCATACTGGTCACCTAAACTAGACCTTGCTGAGCTGTTCATCAAACTGGGTCTCGGAAAATATACTGACCTGTTCCAGCAACAAGAAGTGAGCAATAATAAATGCTATAATTGTCAAATATTTAATCATATTAGGATGTTTTTTCATTCATTTTCCTTTTTGAAAAATGTCATTTTTTGTAGAATGTTTGAATTACTGCTATTTACCTTGTCCATTAAAAAAATATTATCAACTTTCAACAAGACTGTTCTATCTGTATCTTTGTTTATTTACAGTTACTAGGATACTTTTATTTGTTCAGTGTTGCGAGGGTTTCAGTCAGAATAACTTCTAATATTTGGTACATAGTATTAAGTGCAAGTAAGTATATGCATGGCACCTTTGTGTCATGTAGAAAAGTTTGACTTTCAGGCAAACATTTATATAATATTTTCAGCATATTGACATTTATCATATGTATATTTCAGATTGACTTGCCAACATTCCTGACATTGACTGACCATGACCTTCGAGAGTTAGGTATCTCCACATTTGGTGCCAGAAAGAAAATGCTCCTGGCAATTGCAGGTACTAACTTATCATAATTTTTTACTTTTGAAAATAATTCCAGGTTCCAAAGTTAAATTGTTGAAATATTGCCATATGAATTATAACAATATCCATATGTTGTAATAAATAATTAGTCTAGAAATTCCATGTGCTACAGTGTTAAATCAGATTGACACAGCAAAGATTTATGTCAGATATTTGACATGTTCTTGCTGATAGATATGTTTTACTAAGTGTGACTGTGTCTCAGGTTTATTTATTTTAATAATTTCCCTCTGACATGAGCTTTCTTATCAAGCATGATTTTGAAAGGTTTCTGGTTTGACATAAGTACGTCATTTTCTAAACCCTTTAGATAGATAAGTCACATAGATAAGTCCCATAGATTCATGTTGGCTTATTTTCAGTCGGAAATAAAAAAAACAACTCTAGAGATAATATTTTTGTGTTATTACGACTAAAACAACAAACAAAAAAAACCACTACATTGGTACAATTTAAAATGTGTTGAGATTGTGAAAGGTTTGTTCTTTTTCTTTGATGAATTTAGATCTGAACAAGAGAAGAATGTTGATGTCAGCAAACAGTCCTCTGGAAGACTCGGATCCATTTCATGAGGCAGCCTCTTCACCACACGGATCACATCCTGATATTGCGAGCTTGAGTGGAAGATGGTGAATATGTCGTCTACATCAGAGGTCAAAGTGAAAGATTGTTATCTGCTGTTGGGTAAAGACAGTGCATAAGAGATTTTCTGTTTATTTGAGTTTCTGCTGAATAGAAAATGTTCTGCTGTTATGTAAATCATTTTTGTGAACTTTTTGAGATAAAAAATATTTGTTGTTGTTGGAGAACTGTGTGAGTATTATTAAGCCTTTGATATGAGCAAATCATGAGTTGACAGAAAGGTGTAGTTGATTTACAAGATTATGATTTTTGAAAAGAAATGGCATATGTAGTATCAATGTTATGATTAAGAAAACACCTTATCAAGTGAAATTAAAAAAGGGTAATTTTGAAATTATTTTATTTTTGCTAGTTTATATTTAACAGAAAGAAATGGTAGTAAAAAGTAGTAACAATGTGTTTTTGGGATAAAGCAGTCCTTGTTAATCTAGTTAGATGTTTGTGTAAAGAGTATTTCATAAGCTTAATTACTCTTTTGTTTTGTATGTGTCCTTGTTGAGAAGTTGTTATTAAAGATTCTTGTTATTGCCGGTAGTAAAGTTAATTTGAAAAGACCATTTTTCCTTTTTAGTGACTAAAACTTTAATGTGTGTGTAGAGTGCACTACAAACAGCTCTTTGGAGAAGAATATATAGTGTTAGATGACTGAAACACTTAAAACTGTTACTGTAATATGATATTTACATGTATATTTTTTATAGATTCTATATGGATAAAAACAATCTCTTATGAAATGTAATACTAGTCATAATTGGAGATCTGCTGAAATCTCATAGTTATTAATGTCGTATTGTAGATGAATTTAGGTTGAGTATATTATATTGTACATGAAACACTGTCTTGAACCTTTAACCTGCCTGAACTGAAAGTGACCAGCCTTTGCCATCAGTATAGAGCCAGGCCAGCCTGCACCTCCGTCCGTGCCTGCCGTCTGCCCAGGCTCTATACAGATGATAACTGATATATTTTGTTTTTTGATACATGTACTATTGAAATCTCAAAATGTTAGTAGATTGTTCCAAAATCAAAGCTAGGCAAAGCCAAAAAAATACAACTTCCGAAAGTTAAAGGTTAAGTAGATAAATGGTTATAGAAATACGCATTCAAAGGTGTCTGTCTATTCTATGAAAATTCTATTTAAAAAAGTTGGTTCCGTAATTCTTATGTGAAAGGTAGCTGATTCTGCCAATCTTTGTTTAAGGGTAGCCATTGTTACTGTAGGTACAATATAGGTTTTACTGTTTATTTGTTCATTAAATCAGAATACGAATGGATTGATATTTTATGATAATATATTTTTGTTATCTCAGTATAGAAGAGTTTATAAGAGAAATGTTCATGACATAAAAAAATTTTGTTAAGCTCATTGTACCCCCAAAACTGCTCAATTTTATAGAAAAAAGATCTTTGACTTTATAACAGGTGTAAAAAATTATTTTTATATATTTGATTTGAGAATATATTTTAAATTATCTGACGAAAAGAAAAAAACTGAATATGTTTATGGAATCTACATGACATTTGAATAATGTTTCCCATTTGACTGTAGGGTATGATTAATTTGTGTATTTAATTAAAGAAAAAGACAAAAACCAAGTGTGTGCCAAGTAAAAAATTAAAGAAAAAAAACATTGTACCATACACTATTATATGAAGATCTCTTGCTTTGGTGCATTTGAATTTCTCTTAATTTACATCGAAAAGTGTGCCTCTACAAAAGAATTTAAGGAAAAACACATGTTTTTGCACACGGCATTGAAATGTAATGATTTAAAGAAATATGCTAGGTACTGGTATAGTTGTTTTGCATAATAGTGTTTGTACATTATTTGTTTTACATTATTTTCTTAAATTTTTACTAAAAAAATTTTTTAAGATTTTTTTCATTTGTCAATATGATTTTCCAGTAAAGTTGAACTTTAGAAAGAAATGTTATATTTGTAGACAAAATCAGTACAATTACTTTATTATTCATTACAGTAAGTCCGTGGTTGTATATTGATTAGTGAGAAAAGTTAAATTTTAAGAGAAAAAAATGTGAGAAAATTTGTTTTTATTCTATTTTATTAAATTGATGAGCATTAACTAAAGAATAGAAAATTGTTTTAGAAATTTGAAACTTGACCAATAACTAAAATAGAGAAGGTTACGGTTAGAGATGAAGTATAACATGTAAATGTAACTTGTTTTATAGTTATATTTTATAGATAGAGATGTGTATATATATATAATTGTTCAGTATAGATAGAGTTTGTATCATTTATTCATCATCACATCCAATTAATGATCAACTATGACTGTGACAAAAATTGTTATGATCTGTGAAAGTGAAATTCAGGTATAGAAATAGTTTATCTTAATAAAAGGTAATATCACAGATTTATATTGTAATGAAGATCCGTGGTAGTATCCAGGCTGAGATAAGTATGGAAGTGTTGTAAGTCATAGTTGCATTAAACGGGTGTTGTCTTTCATTATGTCCCTTGACAAAAATCTAGGACAACCGCTTTATATATAGACCAGATATGTGTCTCACTATTTTATTTATTTTTGCATTGTGCTTACCTTAGTATATTGTTAGTTAAATGTATGTTTGTGTGGCTCGAAACATGATGTAACTGTAACGCATCAAAGTATAGAGTAAAATGTGATGCTTGATTAATATACTGAACAATGCACCGAACTTTACTTGATTTATTATAAAATAAGAACATGTGCCACAGTAAAACATTTTAATCAAAACCTTCATTGTGGAAAATTGGAAGAATGAAAATGGAAAATTTAACGAAAAATTACATGGAAAACAAAAGAAACTGGCTCTTTGTGATTTTTCATCAAAGACAGATTGCTTCCAAGACGTTTACACAACACTTTGAAATATGGTCAGTAGGACCTTGAAAAAATAAGAGCATTGGTTTTTTGAAAAGAAATAGTATTGCTTTAACTATCATTTTTATGCATTCTTACAAGATTATTTTGCTTTGATTACTAATTGCTTTAAAAGCTTTATTTCTTTTTGATAATTGCTTTTAGAAAGCCTTACACATGAGAAATCCGTCCATATTTACTTGTGATATACAGAATCCTATGTGTGATCTCTACTTATATAATTTGATCTATGCAACTATAAATATTTTATTTTTTATACATGTATGTATAATTATGTAGATGGCATTGACATTGTATATTGTGTGCTGAACTGTCTCGTTGTTATACCCAACTATACATATATAACATATTGTTGTTGAAAAAAATTTAAAGCTGTTTTTGTTGCTTTTTATAATTAATTGTATTGTCTGTTTTTAATTTTTCATTTTGTAAAATACATTCTGTAAACAATGAATAGAACTTGTATTATAGTGATTTTTTTTTTTGCTTGTTGCTTAACTGAATTTTGCCCTCTTTTTTCTGAGTTGTTGCCCTTTATATTGCAGATTTTTACCAAAGTATTATTCATGTTTATCCCTTCCCATTTGTGCTCATGTTTGAAGTGCTAAATTTAGTTGATTTTGTAGTGCTCATTTTCTTGATATATATATAAATATTATAATTTTCTGTTTTGGGGATTTTAGAGACATTAGTTTACATATTGCATTCATTGTTTTGTTAAGAGGAGTGTGAACATAACTGGTCTATATGTCATTGCTTGTGAAAGCTCGATTCACATGTTTTTGACTTGTTATAGGCGCACTATACAAAATTACCATTATGGTTGTTAGCTACGGAACTTCGGGTTATTTCATTGAAAAATTCTCAAGTTTAGTTATGCTAGAGAAATGTTTGTGTCAGCATGCATAGAAATTTTTAAAAATAAATATATAAATAAATAAAAGTAAGATTGTTCTTTTCAACTTTATTTGTAAGGGAATCTTTTTAGCTCACCTGTCACAAAGTGACAGGGTGAGCTTTTGTGATCGTTTTTCGTCCGGCGTCCGTCCGTCCGTCGTCCGTCCGTCCGTAAACTTTTGCTTTAAATGACATCTCCTCATAAACCACTGAGCCAATTTCATCCAAACTTCACAGGAATGTTCCTTTGGTGGTCACCTTTAAAAATTGTTCAAAGAATTTAATTCCATGCAGAACTCTGGTTGCCATGGCAACCAAAAGAAAAAACTTTAAATATCTTCTTTTAAAAAACCCTAAGAGCTAGAGCTTAGATATTTGGCATGAAACATCTTCTAGTGAGTTGCTACCAAGTTTGTTCAAATAAAAGCCTTGGGGTCAAAATTGGCCCCGCCCGGGGGGGTCATTGATTTTCCCTATATGCATATAGTAAAAACTTTAAAAAATCTTCTTTTAAAGAACCCAAAAAGCTAGAGCTAAGATATTTAGCATGAAACATGTTCTAATGGGTGTCTACCAAGTTTGTTCAAATAAAAGCCCTGGGGTCAAAATTGGCCCCGCCCCTGGGGGTCATTGATTTTCCCTATATGCATATAGTAAAAACTTAAAAAATCTTCTTTTAAAGAACCGTAAGAGCTAGAGCTTAGATATTTGGGATGAAACATCTTCTAGTGAATGTCTACCAAGTTTGTTCAAATAAAAGCCCTGGGTGCAAATTTGGCCCCGCCCCAGTGGGTCATTGATTTTCCCTATATGCATATAGTAAAAACTTAAAAATCTTCTTTTAAAGAACACAAAGAGCTAGAGCTAAGATATTAAGCATGAAACATCTTCTAGTGAGTGTCTACCAAGTTTGTTCAAATTAAAGCCCTGGGGTCAAAATTGGCCCCGCCCCGGGGGTCATTGATTTTCCCTTTATGCGTATAGTAAAAACTCAAAAAATCTTCTTTTAAAGAACCATAAGAGCTAGAGCTTAGATATTTGGCATGAAACATCTTTTAGTGAATGTCTACCAAGTTTGTTCAAATAAAAGCCCTGGGGTCAAAATTGACCCCGCCCCAGGGGGTCATAGATTTTCCCTATATGCATATAGTAAAAACTTAAAAAATCTTCTTTTAAAGAACCCAAAGAGCTAGAGCTAAGATATTTAGCGTGAAACATCTTCTAATGAGTGTCTACCAAGTTTGTTCAAATAAAAGCCCTGGGGTCAAAATTGGCCCCGCCCCAGGGGGTCATTGATTTTCCCTATATGGATATAGTAAAAACTTAAAAAATCTTCTTTTAAAGAACTCAAAGAGCTAGAGCTAAGATATTTAGCATGAAACATGTTCTAATGGGTGTCTACCAAGTATGTTCAAATAAAAGCCCTGGGGTCAAAACTGGCCCCGCCCGGGGGGGGGGAGGGCGGGGGGTCATTGATTTTCCTTATATGTGTATAGCAAAAACTTAAAAATCTTCTTTGGAAAACCCCAAATAGCTAGAGTTTAGATATTAAGCATGAAACATCCTAAGTAAATATCTACAAAGTTTGTTAAAATAACTGCCGGGGGGTCAAAACTGGCCCTGCCCCAGGGGTGTCATTGTTTTTAACTATATGTGTATAGTAAAAACTTTAAAAATCTTCTTTTAAAAAAGCCAATGAGCTAGAACTTAGATGTTTAGCATGAAACATCTTCTTATGGGTGTCTACCAAGTCTGTTCAAATAAACAAATAAAAGCCCTTGGGTAAAAATTGGCCCGGGGGTGGCGGGGCTTATATACAGGTGAGCGACCTCAGGGCCATCATGGCCCTCTTGTTTTTATTCTTTTTATTTTTCCTATCTTAAATTTTGAAAACATTGGGAATGACCATTTTCTCATACAAAAATGATAATTTATCTACATGTGTATACATGTATGTAATTGAATGTGTAATGTATTTATAACAGGTAAATAAACATGTGAGTTAAGAGCTTATTTATACTATAACATATGTTGGTTCCACCACAGATTTGCTGCTTGTACAGTACCTACCCTTAGGCAGGCTGTCAAGATAGGCCCTCTGCTGATTGGTCACGTGATAGGGGAAAAAAATGGTTAAAATACCAGAAATAAAAATGCGATGTTTCAACACAGTATGTATAAGGAGACAGTTTGTGATACTGACAACCAGCTAGTGTTACCATGGAAAAGAAATATTAGGGAAAAAAAACAATCAAATATTGTATGAAAAAAGCATTGTGTTTTTTCAAATTTGAAAAAAAATAATGAATATTTATTATTTAAAGAAAGACTATGACCAATTAGCAGTGGGCTTAAAGTAGCCAATGAAAAATAAACTTAATGCAGGGACTCTCATTTTTTATCATTTGTTGATATATATATTTTTGTCATTGATTATCTTTCACATATATATACATTGTTGCAACTGTGTTATATTGGAATTTATTGAATGTTATACCATGTTGTATGGATTGCTATGGCCAATCATATACCTTTTTTTTGTTTATGCAATTTTTTTACCATGTACAAATGCTACAAAGTGGCTTTTCAGTAATAATTCAAGTTAAATAGTTTGTTTGAAACATACTTTTATATTAAGATTTTTAAATACTTAGGAAAAAATAATGTTAAGAAAATTTTGAATTGTATTCAAGTGAAACAATGGCTTTTATATTACAAATTTTATTGACTTGTAATTGTACATATTTTAAGTTGTCACAAAATATTTTTTCAGCATCAAAAAGTTAATAATCTTCAGATAAGAGACTTTGATTAGGTATGGTAAACTAATAGCGTTGTTTTTTTGTCTGCAAAAAGTGGAAAAACTTTTTATTATTACTTCCTTCAAGCAATAGGTTTTTGTTGTATACTATAACTTATACAAGATCTCTGTTGTCTAAGAGTCCGTCCATGACTTTTTCTCGAGTCACTTTTGATATAAAATCTTACAATCAACATAGTCAAGAATTGTTGAGTTTTTTGTATTATGTTATTATCTCTTAAAAGCATGTTTCTAGCCAGCAATGATACAGCAAATTTTGCTGTAATGATTATAAAATAATTTATATTATAATTTAATTTGGTTAATATATTTTAAACTCACAGAAAGCTAATATGTTTTATTCCATTTAATATCTTTTATGATATATAGAAGAAATAAAATTATTTCATATCAAGAATTAATTAATGATAATGCACATTTGTGTAATGCTTCTTTGAATTTACTGTTAATTAAAAGATATATGTTGAAAAGGACAATATATGTGTACCACTCTTACCATTTTGCATCCTTGTAATAAAATAGGCTGCATTCATTCCAGAGTTCCTTGTTTCTTCCATGCTTGTCCACTTGCTGTGGCTTGATCCATGATGTATGGTGCTTGTGAACTATTATATTTCTTTTTGAAAGCACATAATACCTCAGAAAATAATACATTTTTAACTGTAAAAAGTAGCACTGAATGTGAAATTATTTTTCATAAAAGTAGCAAAATGTAATATGCTTCTTTAATCACTATACTATAGCTATAAGTATTGCCAAACGGCAAAGGTCTGGGAATTGGCCAAAAAAAGCAACGTTTTGGAAATAATAATTGGACATTAAAAAGAAAAGGATTCTGAGAAATAAAATCAAAAGCATTTCTGTAGTTTAATGGTTCTTCAAATGTTTGAATATAAAGTATAAAGAGAATACTTCGAGAGATATCAGTCACTGCAAATACCAAGTAAGGGGCCCACTTTGTCAACAGAATGTGGGTTGTTGGTTCATGAACTTTATGTTGCATTTTTACTAAAACTGCCAATTAAACAACAAAAGTACAGATTATTTCTAAATTATGTGTTCATCTACTGATAGATTGCGGATGCTCTATGAACATCTTCTCAAACTTTTATTGTTACTAAGAATAAAAATGTATGTTTATTTATCCCTGATGTTACTACTTATAAAAATATATGAGCCGCGTCAGGACAAAGCCAACATAATGGGTTTGCGATCAGCATGGATCCAGACCAGCCTGCGCATCCGCGCAGTCTGATCAGGATCTATGCTGTTCGCTATCAGTTTCTTTACGTATGATAGGGTCTGTAAGCGAACAGCATGGATCCTGGTCAGACTGCGCGGATGCCCAGGCTGGTCTGGATCCATGCTGATCGCAAACACATTATGTTGGTTTTGTCATGACGCGGCTCATCTATTGCTAATGTATCTCATATAAGAAAATGCATTCACATTTAAGTGCTATTGTCTAACTGTTAAGTTCAGACATTTTAGGTGTACAGTCAACTCCACTTATAACCAACATTCCACTTATAACGAACTCGCTTATAACAAATTATCATTAATAGCGAACTAAACTTGAAATCCTCGGGCGATTTTAGACGTATAGCTTGTTTGTCAATAATTTCCCTCTGGTACAATGAATCCCTGAAGTAATGTACAACATTTGGTGTTTATTATGGATTAAAAGAAACAATTCTTCAAATATAAGTGTCAGAGTTGTGCTAGATGTTGCATGACTGAGGCTGAGGAACAGCTTTATTAAAGTTCGAAGAGAATCACAATTAATGACAGGTAGATACTATAACATCAAAGTCTAAGAGTAAAGAGAAATGAGTCTTGAAACACTCATGCCGAATGCACATTTATTATCAACACTGTCAGAGTCAATATATACCATTATTATGTGTCTCTGACACAAATGACAAAGGAACAACTTGTACAGTTGTTATTTGTGTTGAAACATTCATGTATTTAATATCCTTATCGATGACGGTAATATAAGAA